AGTTCTTGTATAAATAAATAAATCTTTTTTAAAAAGTAGAAAAAAGAGGCCCCAAATGGATGCCTTCACTCTGGGTCCCCACCCAGACTTAACGCCTGTAGCAGTTTGTATCTCTCCTGAAAGCATGACAAAACCATCAGTCTGGAGTCTTCCTATCGGCACCACTGGGGCAGCTGCACCACGGGGCCCCTCTGCGTGCCCCTGGGGAAGGTGGCTGTGCTTGAAATCCTATTTTCTTCTGCTAAACACCTTGGCCCACCCCCTCTCTGTCTATGATCACCATCCACTTTTGTGGGAGCCCTTGTGGTGTCTAGATGGGGTGCTGCCAGATTAGTGACTCATTTAATAAAGTCAGATCTCTAAAAGTTGTGGTTTCTGTTTATCACTTGTTTATTATGTAAGCGTGAGGCTTGATGATTTCAGCATGTCTTTTCCTAGAAAGGAATGCTCCATCTGGGCACAGAGAGAACTCCCCCCTGGTTTTGCCTCTCAGGGTGCAGGTCCCATTACAGGAGTGCACCACGATTTCCTAAACAGTCCTCCATACATAGACAGCAGGTCTCATTCTAATCTACTATGATGCTGGTTGCTTTTTTTTTTTAAAGAAAAGATTTATTTATTTATGCATACAAGAACGGGGTACAGGCCAGAGGTGTGGGGGGTGAGAGGATTCACCAGAGACAGAGTGGGCAGCAGAACAGCCAGACTGAAATACACTGCTGAGGAGAGCAGGGGGCGAGTCAGGAGAGGTCTGCTGCGCCATGTGGGTTGCTTCCTGGCAGGCTGGGAATCGAACTCGTGCTGCAGTGGCTGCGTAGCTTCATAGGTTGTGTCTTAACCCCTTGCGCCACCAGGAAGGCCCCGATGCTGGTTGCTTTGGAAACACACACTCTTAGGGTTACCCTGCCCCTCCCTGCAATCTCTTTCCCTGCTTCCTTCTCTTCTCCTCACACAGACCCTTGGTGAGGCCCCGGGGCTTGGTGCTGGCTTCTCTCTGCTCTCCAGACCCTCCCTCTAGATGATCTCATTCAACCCTGAGGCTTGAAAAATACTTCTCATGTGCCAATGACTTCTAAATTTGTATCTCCACCCCATCTCTCCCCCGGAGGCCAAGCTCCTGTGTCTAACTCTGAATGTCTGCTGAACAGATCAAACTAAGAGCCGTAAAAATGGCATTCACCATCAGAGGGAAGGCGCCCGCCCCCACTCCAAGAATGGAGTCACTGAAATTTATTTTTTATTGCAGTGAAATTCACATAATATAGAATTAACCATTTGGAAGTTGCTAAGTGGTATTTAACGTATTCACCATGTGCTACCACTACCTTTTCTCTAGTTCCAACATATTTTTGTCACCGTCAAAGGAGATCTTGTACTCATAAGAAGTCACACTTCATTCCCCTCTCCCTCAATTAGGATGGATTAAGTAACAATTAAAATTAAGTAACAATACAGAGAGTGGGCTTAGACTACTGTCTGGCACGTAGTGTGCCCTCTGTAAGTGGTGGCAATGCCCACTTGAAAAAATAGCATTGGTGTGTTCATTATGTGCATCCTTCAAGATCCCTTCAAGGGCCACCTTCTCCAGGAAGCCTTCCTGGATGAGGCCAGACAGGATTAGTTGCTCAGGGCCTCCAAAACACTTTATACTGTTCTCTCTTTAAACTTTTTGATAAAACTCTTCCCAATTAGTGTATTCTGTATTCTATGCCCCTCTCCAGGGATCAGAACACGTCTTTGTGATAATTACAGGGTTTCTCTCCCTGACTGTAAATAGGCTGACCGTGCCTGTCATAACCAGTGGACTGAGCTCCTAAAAGCAGAGTCTGTCTCACTCACTCAAGTATGCCCAGCACGTTGCCGCAAACCTGGTTAACAAGGAAACTTCTCAGTCCATATTGGCAGGTTGAATCAATGGAGCATTCTGTCCTCTGCTTCTCAATGTGAAATATGCCTGCGCCCAAGGGATGCAGTGGAGCCCAAGGATTCATAAACCCAAGTTTTTTGACATTTCCACATATAGTTACAATTTTTTCCCCCTTGGGATGTTCTTTTAAGTTCTGCTCTCCCAGCAATTTGCAGTGGCATGTCAAAGAATCAACAATCCATGGCAAAATTTAAAAATATTCGTTAGCAACGTCCAAGTATACAATACAGTTGTCTCACTACCCTCTCTGTGCTGTGCATGACACGCCCAGGACTTATTTATCTTATCTGGACATTTGTACCTTTTGGTTGCCTTCACCCTTTTTTTGCCCATCCTCCCATCACCATCATGACCAATCCACTCTCTTATCTCTGTGTTGGTTTTATTAGTTTGTTTTTATTTTTTAAAAGATTCTACATGCAAATGACAGCCTATGATATTTATCTTTCTTTGACTTATTTTACTTAGCGTAATGTCCTCAAGCTCTATCCATGTTGTCACAAATGGTAAAATTTGCTTCTTTTTGATGGCTAAATAATATTCCGTCATGTATGTTAACACACTACACAGTGTATCACTTAATGACCAGGATATGCTCTGAGACATGCATCCCGGGGTGGTTTTCTTGTTGTGTGAGCATCCTAGAGAGTAATTACATAAACATCAATGGCATAGTGTCAGTCTCCTACACACCTAGGATGAATGATGCGGCCTTTTGGGGCCGCCATGGTGGATGAGGTCCATCACCAAAGGAAACATCATTTGGCTGTGTGTGACTCTATGTGCCACATGTTTATCCATTTTCCATCGGTTTCTTCCACTTCTTGACTTTTGTAAATAATGTGAGAAACATGGGACCAAACATCTTTTTGAGTTAGTGTCTTTGTTTCCTTCAGGTAGATATCAACGGTAGAATTGTTGGATCATATGATGCTTCTATTTTGTTTTTGTTTCTATATATATCTTTCATCTTATTTTCTTCTAGTACATCTACTTGTCATCTTTTGGGGAACCTCCCCACTGTTTTCTGTAGTGGTTGCATCCACTTGCTCCTTCCCATGCAAATATTCTTTTTTTTAAAAAAGATTTATTTATTTATGCATACAAGAGCTGGGTACAGGCCAGAGATGTGGGGGGTGAGAGGATTCACCAGAGACAGAGTGGGAACAGAACAGGCAGAGTGACTGAAATCCACTGCTGAGGGGAGCAGCGGGTGAGACAGGAGAGGTCTGCTGCACTATGTGGGTTGTTCCCTGGCCGGCCGGGGATTGAACTCGCACTGCAGAGGCTGCAGATTGCTTCATAGTGCAGTGCTTAACTCCTTGCACCACCAGGGAGGCCCCCACAAGCAAATATTATAATGTCAATTTCACTTCCTCTTTTGTGGGGGGGATCCCCATCTTCTAGTAAAAAGGACAACGTGTTAGGGAGCCAGAGGTGAATTTTTCATACCAAAGTAAGATTTTTTTAAGACTGTACCCAAGAGCTGGTTCCTAAACCGCTTGGTAAAGGGGTTCCTTTTCCTTTTCTCTCTAAACTCTCTGTTAGTCCCGGGCTGTCCTTTTATAAAGAAAGGAAGTGTCTTAGCTCTGGATGAGCAGTCAGTGCTCAACACAGAAGCCGGCACTGTGAGTGACATTGGTAAGAAATGCATTATGGGCATCTGGGGGTAGGGGAGCCTGCAGACCCCCTGCAAACAGGGGAGTGGGAACATGCAACAGTTAGCAACCAGGAACTTCCACCTCCAACCTCCATTCAGAGCAGATCTGCTGTGACCCTCTCCAGACTCTGCCTCTTCTGAGGCGCCTGACCCAAAATCACAGGAGTGGAAAAGGCGAGCAGGCGGGGACAAGTGACACGGAGCTCTGAATCATGCCCAGAGCCGACACCGGGAGCCGGGAGATGGGTGAGGACCAGCCTGGTAGCTGGGCACCTGGGCTGCACGCTGATCCTGCACGCTGACCCTCCCCGCCTCGTGGCTGCGGCTTCATCCTCGAGGATGGAACAAAGTTTTCCCTCCTGAGCTATTCTGAGGGGCAGTCGCTAGGCCGGCGTGCCATCCTCCTGAGTGGTGGAGAGGGAGCTTCCTACAAAAGACACTGCACAGTAATGATGCTTTTGCTCCTGTTGATTCATAAGTGTGATCCGAGGTGAGGTTCTGGCCCCCAGTCCTTCGCCGAGCTCTCCAGGGACATCTTTCCTCCTAGCTGCTTGGTGCCCGGGCTCTGACTTTATGCAAGGGTTATAATCTCTCCGCTCTGCGCACCCGGCCCCAGACCCCATGAGTGAGAGCCCTTGAAGCTGCCTCTGTGTCCTTCCACCCTCTGGTCAGTCCTTGAGCATTTCCTTCCTTTCTGACCCCAAAAGATGTTCCCTGCTCATCTTGTATCCTCCCTGTCTGCCCCCCACTATCCCCCTGGAATCAGTCATTTTCTCAAAGGAGGTGGGTGGGTACATCTGACAGAAGGTGGCTGACCCCTCACCTCGCCACGACCCCCTGGACTCTGATTTCAATGCGACTGAGCCCGGCCAATGGCAGAGGCGATGCTCTAGTGGTTGCCACGGAGACGCTGGGCCGCAGAGCGGAAGGAGGTGGTGACGTCACTGGGGGAGCAAGTGCAGCCGCCACATCCTAGGCTCTGCCGGCCTCAGGGCACCCCGGGCAGCCTCCGGGCCGCCCACAGGGCACGAATCGCCCTGCCCCCGCCCGCGACACCCCCGTGGCAGCAGCCCCCGCGAGGGCAGCGGCCCCAGATCTGCTGAGGCCCTGGTGCGGCCCGGCCCGGGGCTCGGGAGCCAGGAGCCCGCTGGCAGACACCTGTCCCGCCTCGCTCTGTGCGAGACCCGGGGAGTCCCAGAGCTTTCAGGGGAGGCCACGTCGCAGGGATCGGAAGCCGCGGTGCCAGCCGGGGTAGGACCTGGGCCTCCTTGACTGGGCTGGGCAAAGTGGGCCGGCGAGGCCGCGCTCTCGGCCTTCGCAAGGGGACCCGGCATCCTGGATCCTTTTCAGGGCCCCCGGGGCGGGGCGGGCACGCGCCGGCAGGCCTACTGCTGCCTCCGGGAGCTGGGCAAGATGCTGTTCGGCGCGAAGGACATCGCGCTGCTGGAGCACGGGTGCCAGGCCCTCGGGGTGGACAGTCACAAGTCCCTGATGATCCTGGGCATCCCCGAGGACTGCAACCACGAGGAGTTTGAAGAGATCATAAGGGCACCCCTAGCGCCTCTGGGCAAGTTCGAAGTGGCCGGAAAGGCCTTTCTGGAGGAAGAGAGGACCAAGGCGGCCATCATCCGGCTGGCGGGAGACATCGACTACGCCGCGATTCCCAGGGACATCCAGGGCCAGGGCGGCCTGTGGCGAGTGGTCTACATGCCCCGGAGGCAGGACGTCGCCTTCCTCACCAAGCTGAACCTCTTCCTGCAGCGCGAGGGCCGGACGGTGGAGGACGTGGCCCGCGTCCTCGGGCAGGAGCTGGGCCCGTCCACGCCGGGCCCGCAGGAGCCGCCGGCCACCCAGGGCTGTGCGCCGGGGCCGGGGAGAAGCCGGGGGCCGGATCCCCTGCCGGGGTGCGCGGGGTGCCGCCTTTGGGCCTGGCGGAGAAAGAGAGCAAGGCCGGAGAGGGCAAAAAGGGCAAGAAGCAGCACAAGAAAAGCCGGCGACGCCACCACGCGTCTGACAAGAAGCCTTGAGGTGACGTGGGCGGGCGCGGGGCGGCCGGCTGAGGGGGTGTCGTCTCAGTGGATGTGGGTGACGACCGTGGGAGGGTGGGTGCCCTTTCAGGAAGTCTGGGGAATGCGAGCGAGTGTGGATAAGGTGGGCAGAAGGATGGTGCTGCCTTAACGTGAGCCGGTAACTTAGAGTAAGAACGGGTGTCACCTGGGTGAGCTCAGGTCACGCCTGCGGGGGGGAAGGTGGGTGTTTTCAGCTGAGCTAACTTGTGGGTTACCTCTGAGTGGAGGTGGTTCACTCTGGCTGAGTGTGGATCATTCAGTCATCCATGCGTTCTGCAGGGCTTTACTGCACGCCCGCCCTGTCCCGCCACCGTGATGGGGGCCGGGGAGGCCGGGAAGCAAACCCAACATTGTCCCCGCCTTTGTGGCATTCGCGATGGGTCACCTCTCGGGTACCTCTGAGTGTGCGCGAGCACCGTTGAGTAGATGTAATGGCTGGGGAGTAGAGAGCGCGGTAGACCCTCCCACTTGCCCTCGAGGCACTCCTATTAGATATCTAAGGAGGCGTGGGGACCTCCAGAGGGTGAGATGCGTTCCACTGGGTAATATTTGAGTTGTGGGCAACACTTGAGAGTGTGGAGGTAACACCTGAGAGTGTGGGGCCCTATGAGTGGCTGAGGGTAACTTCTGCGTGAGGCAGGGTCTTCAAGACCCACAAACAACGTGCAAGGTCCGAGACCGGCAAACCCAGAGACCCCGCAGGAGCAACCGCGCAGCCTCAGTAGGAGCCGGAGCCCAGGGGCGCGTCGCCGTTGCCATGGAGACCGCGGGCCGCCCCTGCGCCTGCGCAAGAGTGCGTTTGCGGAAATGGAAGTAGAGTCACCGGGCCTAGAATCCCAAGTGTTTGCAGAAGGCCACTTATCCGAGTTGAGGGAAAGCACGCAGCAAGAACGTGTCAAGGAGAACCCCGCTCGGAGAAAGGCCCCTGGGCCGTCATTTGCGTCCTGAAGTTGAAGACAGCCTCTGGTGGGGTGTGTGTGAGAGGGTGCAATGGGGGGCGGAGGCACAGCCCTGTAACTTTGGGTCCTGCTGGAAATGCTATTATTGCAACGTGTAGAGCTGGGTTTTTTGCTGTTTGTTTGTTTTGTTTTTTTACTTTTAAGAGGATATACCCCGAATGTCGCCCTGGCACACACTTAATGGGCGGCCCTGGCGTTTTGCATGGGGAACCAAAAGCCATGGCTGGTCTGGTCAACTCACTGCCCGTGTGACAACATATAAGGGGTCGGCGCTGCTCTAGAAACACTGGATCACTCCTACGGGGTGGTCAGAGGTGGTCCCTTCTGCTCTGGCTGGCATCGGGGAGGATGTACCAGTCTCCAAATTAAACCCAGGAGGCTCTGATTCGGAAGGAGGGGGTGTGCTCCACTCTCCAAAGAACCAAGACAAGGCTTCCAGGGAATAATAACTCAAAGATCATCTTCAAGAGTTATGGATGAACAGCATTCCCATGAATCCCCCGTGATGGTGAAAACCAAACAGCAAAATCAGTTGAAATTGAAATGGATGGTGGGGTGCTGGCCATACAACCCCCTTGTCCCTGGGAGAGAGGGCTCTTGTTCAGGGGGATCTGGCTTGGGAATTTGCAAACTTCCAGAAGTTCAGGGATCACCCAAGGTTTGAGTTGAATTTCTTTTCAAACATATAATTCACACCACACTCAGGTTCTGACTCAGCCGAGTCAGTGGAGACTCGGCCAGTGGAGACTCTGCCATTGGAGACTCCATGTATTTCTGTGGTAGATATCAATCATGTCTGTGAGTTCCATGTTATATCTGCAAGGCTACCCCACGCTGCCCTCCAGCAGAACCGAAAGGCTCCACCTTGGCAGCCAGGGTGAGGCAAGGGACCCATCTTCCTGCAGTCAGAAACTCCCATCAGGTCCTTGCGTTCTCAACAAGTGTCAAGACCCAGGAGGAAACCTAAAACCTGGAAGATTCTGATTTCTGTCCATTTCCCAAACCAGCTCTTCTGTGAGCCTCAACAACCCTCTCCTTTGTGCAATGGTTGGGAAAAAAATCTTCCTGCTATCCCCACACCTACTTCTGAACTTCTCGCAAGAGCAGTTAAGGTCTAGAAATCTGTGGTTCTCTACTGATCAATTTCTTGTAAGTTTCCAGCTGGCGAAGTCCCTCACAGAATATGTGCTGTGGGGTCTGAGCTTAAATAAAGCCACACAAAGCTCAGGCACATCTGTTGCATGCTGTTCTCCCATCTGCAGTCGCTGTACAACAGCAAGAACCAGTGTGACATTTCTTATCACTGCATTACAGTATTAAGATTGTATTTGTGTTTATTGTGGGTTTGGGGTGTTTCCCATACAGCATTCATATCTGTGATACACAACATGAATCTGTGTTACCTATTCAACCCAAATCTCCTACCAATTTTCTTTGTCGTTTTTCTGGACCAGTTGATGACTCTCCTGAGATTGCTATGCCCACTGATGGGCAAAATTGTTACCATCCAAAGTTAGTCATCTGTGGGAGTTGAGACATTGCTGGCATAGTAAACCCCAAATGAAAATTCCCAAGTAGATTGGGAGTGCTGGCTGATGGAAGGCAGCAGCTGGCCTTTGTAAACCCCAGTTTCAAGAATGGGTTCAGTTAAAACTCTTCATTGTTCTCGGTGGTTGATGTTATATTATACAATGATGAACTTCTGAAACAAATGTATGCTAACCTAGTCTTCTCTTTGACATGTTGGGGAAATCCATGTGAGATTTAATTGGGAAAAACTGATTGCTAAAAAAAAAAAAAAAAAAATTTGCAAAACCACTGCCAGTGGGTGGTCTGAAGTTTGTTCAGGATGCCTATTTTATTTATTTATTGATTTATTGATTTATTTATTTTTGTGGGATCCTCGCCGGTGGCCAGGGAATGAACCGGCGCCTCAGAGGCTGCGGGCAGCCTCGCAGCCCAGTGCTCAACCACTGCGCCACCAGGGGAGGCCCCAGGATGCCTATTTTTAAGGGAACATAGTCAGAGTTCATGACCAAGAGAACCCAAAGCACAGCTCTCTCCCAGCCTGTAGGCATCAGGGGCTAATGGGAAAGGTGTAACAATTTATGTGGAGTGAAGAGAGTAAAAGCTGCTTGTATTCCAGGCATTGGGCGAATGAGTTCATACTAATTTACTCATATCTTCCCAACTCTTGAGAGATAGGGTTTTATGATTCCCTAACTCCTCAGCCAAAACTCTTGGACCAGATGTGCCTCAGGGCACATCAGATCTGTGCAGGCACCAAGCCTTCCCTTTTATATTTGCTGCCTGGATTGTAAAATGGACCAATCAGGTACAAGCTAAATGGACCAATCAGGTTCAAGCCCAGCTCATTAGCTAGTCAAATATAAAATGGTTAATGAACTGATTGGTGCAAAACAATCCAACCAGTAGTTTAGCATCAAAATGTTTCAATTGAGCTTGTAGGGTGGGAGACCCTGAAAGAGGATATAAGGGAGGGAAGGCACCTTCTTAGAACATTCTTTTCCTGGCCTCCAAAGAAAGAAGGATCAGCAGGCAACTTCCAAGGAAAAACTGAAGACTCTCAGAGACACGTCTGCACCCGCCTCCAATCTGGCCTCTGACTTCACTGACTGGACATTTATTCTGGCACCCAAATGGGGTGCAAATATTATACCCTCCACCTGGAGATCTGTGTAAATTGAGATCAGCCTCAGTTTCCCCATCTGTAAGAAGTTGCTACCCAAGGTACTCCCTGACCACCTAGCTCTGAGGACTTATAACAGACCCATTCGGCATATCTCCAGGTTTTGGGCCAAAGGAAACCCTTGGTGCAAGTTAAATGTTACTATTACTAATGCCCATGTGGAAGCAAACCCTGGCTCCCTGGCTCCTGGTCCATCGTGTTTGTGATAGATTCTGAAGACGCTAGGGTGAAAATTCAGATGTCTCCCCCCATTTCCCTCCCCAGAAACATCTGCAGATGGCCATAGTGCTTATAGGTGTGTTTAGCAGATGGACACGTTGAGATCTTTTGGTCTACACACACACACCAGACTGTTCTAGATTCAAATCCAGGCTCAGTCTCTTTCCGGCTGTGCAGCCCTTAAGCAAGTGTTTTTACTTTCTGGCTATAAAGTGGGAATGATCCCCCTATTACCTGTCTTCTGTTATGGGGATATTTCATGGGTTGATTTGTAGAAAGCACTTAAAATGGTGTCTAGGACACAGGAAGGGCCCTGTGAGATTTGAATATCTCTGGCGCTTCCTTTTTCGTTGCTGCATAGTGCTTCACTCTAAGAAGAGACCATAAAATTTAATCTCCCTAAAAATATTTATTGAGCACCTACTGTGTACTGAATCCCAGGCTAGGAACTGGTGTGATATGATCCTGGTTTCTCTACCAATTTCTCTACCCATACCTGTGGATATATAGGTAAGAAGAGCAGGTACCAAAGAAGTTTAGAGTGGTAGTAGAAGTGCCATTACAGATACAGATAGATATTGATATGATAATGACGGTGCTATCAAAAGGCCTGCCCCCAGGCCAGGCTGGACCCCTCACTTTCTGGATGGCAGATTTGAGAACTGCTGTCTTTCTCTGGAAAGGTGCTGACGTGGGCCTCGCAAGCATTCCCATTCCGCTTGGAAGCCGTGGCCCCAGTGAGGCCCGGGGCGCAGCCACACCCTAGTGGGGAGGGGAGCGAGGCCGCCCCATAGAGAGTGGACAGCCCCCCTGTCAGTCTTCGCGAGTCGCGGAGTGTAAGATGAGAAGGGAGAAGGTGGGCCTCACCAAGGGGAGGGCGAGGAGGAACTTCCTGCCCTTGCTCTCAGAGGCAGGCGCTGAGCGCGCGGCTGGAGAGGCGGGAGGCGCGTCAAGGTCAGGCTTCGACGCGGTGGCAGGCTGCCTAGGGGCGGGAGACCCTCCTGGGGGGCTGGGCTGCGGCCTCCAGCGCCTCGGCCATATTGAACAGCCTCGGCAGAGACGCCCTTGTGAAGTCCGCTCCCGAGTTCCAGGCGCGTCCCCGGTGCCTGGGGCAGAAAGAACCACAGGCACTCCGTGCACCCCAGCTTGGAGCCGGGACGCTACGGCTCCAGCCTGCGGTGGGCTTTGACCTCCTCCCGGCTCACGTAAGCATCCCGGGATTGATTCCCACAAGCCCTCGGGGAGGGAGCCGGACCTGATCGAGACCGAACTTTGCAGGCAGGGAAACTGGGCGGTGCTGGTGGGTCCCGGCCGGAGCGGAGACTCCGCGGGCCGGCGCGGCTTGCACCCCACCCCCACCGCCAAGCCCAGGGCTTCGTGACGTTTGGGCTCCTTGCCCCCCCACCCCAGGTTTCACCCTGGAGATCTTAAAGACCCTCGAGAAGAGCCATGTGGGGGGCTGGTTCCCCTGGGGGTTCCTCCCGTCCCCCGACTGCTTGATCCTCTGGAGCGTCCCGGATGTCTGCAAAGACGTGGATTTGGACGTCCTCGTGGAAGCCTTGAAGCCCGTGGGGACCTTTAAGAAGATCGGCAAGGTGTTCCGCAGGGAGGAGGACTCCACGGTGGGGATGCTGCAGATCGGGGAGGACGTGGACTACCTGCTCATCCCGCGGGAGGTCAGGCTGGCCGGGGGCGTCTGGAGGGTCATCTCCAAGCCCGCGACCAAAGAGGCCGAATTTCGCGAGCGGCTCACCCAGTTTCTGGAGGAAGAAGGCCGCACCCTCGAGGATGTGGCCCGCATCATCGAGAAGAGCACCCCCCACCCGCCTCAGCCCCCCAAAAAACCCAAGGAGCCCCGAGTGAGGAGGAGAGTCCAGCAGGTGGAGACCCCGCCCCCCCGGCTGGTCGTGGGCACCTATGACAGCAGCAATGCCAGCGACAGCGAGTTCAGCGACTTCGAGACCTCCGGAGGCCGCGGCGCCGAGGGCCGGGGAGGCGCGGGCCGGGGAGGCGCGGGGCGGGGCCGGAGGCCGCGCAGGATGCCCGTCAGCTACTTGGGCAGCAAATTTCTGGGGAGCGACGTGGAGAGCGAGGACGACGAGGAGCTGGTGGAGGCCTTCCTGCGGCGAGGGGAGAAGAAGCCCAACGTCCAGCCCGTCCGCCGCCGCGTGCCCCTGCCAGTGCCCATGTTCGAGGACAGCCTGGCACCCCAGCTGTCCAAGGCGGACCGGTGGCGGGAGTATGTCAGCCAGGTGTCCTGGGGGAAGCTGAAGCGCAGGGTGAAGGGCTGGGCGCCGCGATCCGGCCCCGTGGTGGGCGAGAACCGGCCGGTGCCCGCAGCAGTGGAGAGGGAGGGGGCATCGCTGCCCGGCGTTGCCAGCCCGCAGAATGACGCGGGAAATGGAGTCGATGGGCGGGTGCCTGAGCCGCCCCCACGACGGTGGAGGCCCAAGATCAACTGGGCCTCCTTCCGGCGCCGCAGAAAGGAGGAGGCAACATCCCTGGCCCAGGGGGCAGATGTCCCCCCTGACCCGGGGGCAGAAGCTGTGGATAACCAGAGGGCAGAGGCCATGGCTGTCCAGGGGGCAGAGGCTGCAGATAATCACAGGGTAGAGGCTGTAGCTGACCAGGGAGTCCTGGACCCAACTGTCCAGAGGGCAGATCCTACAGATAATCAGAGGGAAGAGGCCATAGCTGTCCAGGGGGCAGAGGGTGTGGATAGTCAGAGGGTAGAGGCTGTAGCTGACCAGGGCACAGAGACCCCAGCTGTCCAGAGGCCAGAGCCTGTAGCTGACCAGGGCTCAGAGACCCCAGCTGTCCAGAGGCCAGAGCCTGTAGCTGACCAGGGCTCAGAGACCCCAGCTGTCCAGAGGCCAGAGCCTGTAGCTGACCAGGGCTCAGAGACCCCAGCTGTCCAGAGGCCAGAGCCTGTAGCTGACCAGGGCTCAGAGACCCCAGCTGTCCAGAGGCCAGATAACCGGAGGGAAGGGGCCTCCACTGTGGAGGGGGGAGCGGCTGCGTCTGATGGGACAGCGGCTGCGACTGACCGGGGCCCGGGAGCTGCATCTCATCAGAGGGCAGAGGCCCCAGCTGTCCAGGAAGCTGAAGCCTCGGCTGCCCAGGGGGTTCCCAGGGCTCCTCCAGGAGCTAGGGCTCGGAAACAGGTCAAGACAGTGAGGTTCCAGACCCCGGGACGCTTTTCCTGGTTTCACAAGCGCCGGAGAGCCTTCTGGCACACGCCCCGGGTGCCGGCTCTGCCCAGGAGGGCCCCCAGGGCAGGCGAGGCCAGGAGCCTCAGGGTGCTGAGGGCTGAGGCTAGAGCAGAAGTGGAGCAGGGAGAGCAGGAAGACCCGCTGTGAGGTGAGGGTGGGCTGTGGGACACCCCCCCCCCCCCCCCCGGGACAGAGCTGCCCTTTCTGCCTCTGCCCTTGAAAATGAGCTGGAGGGAGGGTGAGGCCCGGCCCTCATGGCCAGCCGACACCCCTCTTCCTCTTCTTGTTAAACTCTGTCCTGCATTGATTTTTTTTTAAAATAGATTTTTTTTATAGCAGCCCAAGGAATGTAAAGAAACCCATACAGGGGGCACATGGCCCTCCACTGCCACTCGAGGTGCTTGAGAAAGGGGGGGCGGTGGAGACATTCCTTTCCGGGCCCCCCTTTTGCCTGCATACTTCACATGGACTGCCCCCTTGAACCTTAAAGGGGGGCGTGCGCCGACATGCCAATAAAAACGTTTACAAACTCATTTCTTGGCTTTGCACTTGGCCACTGAAGATCCGGGCCCCGGGCGTCTTCACCCCACCCTCCATCTGGGTGAGGTCACCGCCCGCCGCCCTGGGGTTCTGCTGGCTGGCCCGGTCCAGAGCCGCCCTTTACACACACTCCGACCTTGCTCAAGGAGCGCCCGAGAAGCTTCTGGGAATCGTGTCCAAAGTGCAGATTCTGGGCCAGGGCTGTGATTTGCCAGCGCAGCTGTGGGGCTCAGGGTCTCTTTGGCTCAAGGCCCGCAGATATTTGCTGAGGGCAGCTTGGCCATTGGGGACATGAAAAAATCCTTGCGGTAGGGACAAGCCAAAAAGCTGGGGGTGGGGGGCAGGGGAGCCGGGCTGTCGCGGCTGTGATTGGGCAGGCCCCACCAGTGCCCATCAGATGACCAAGCGCAGCCTTGAAGAAGGCAGGAGAAAAGGGAATTCGTGGAGCCGATGGCCAGCCTGTCTCCGCCTAAGTTTCTGGCCTGGGTTTCTTCCTTTTTTCCCTTGTAACTAAAGGACAGGCTTTCCCGCCCCCCCCCCCCACCCGGGAGTGTCACGCCTTGAGCTACTTTGGTTCACAGCCAGGGGTGTGGAAGGAAGACAAAGTGTGGACCCCGGGGGAGGGACAGACTTGGCTGGGCAGTCTCGGTGTTGGATGCTTGGCTGGGTTGCAAATGGGGGCTGCCCTGGCTGCCGCCCATGGAGAAGAGGGACCTGGGTCCGAGACCGATGGGGTGGCAGGAAGGTGGAAGAGCAGAGGTGGGGAGAAACACCTGGAAAGACAGGAGCTCCTGCAGCTCTGTCCCCCCCACCCCTCCTGTCCTCCTAGGCCCCAGCAGTGGGGAGCAGCGAGGCCTCCCCCAGGGGCTGACAGATCCCTGGGGTAATCTGAGCCACTTGGGAACTGAAGAAAGTTTCAGATGGAATTTACGGGGTCCCCCAATGCAGCCGGTGGGGTTATAATTTCAAGCCAAACCAGATTTTCAGGGAGGAAACTGTTGGAATGTATAGGGTTAAAAGCTCAGTCTCTCCTGGCCCCTCACTGGGAAGCTGGGAAGGGAAGTTTTGAACTGAGAGGACAACGGAAGAAGTGCCCTGGGAACCAGGCTCCGGACCTTGGGCCATAAGGGAACCAACAGATTGCTCTGAGACAGGGCCTTAAAGCCCATCTGTGACCGTTAAAAGCTGATACAAATTCTAAATGTGAAAAAACGCAGACTGGGCCTACCTGGTGGCGCAGGACTTAAAGACAGAGCGCTATCAAGCTATTGCCAGCCACTGCAGCGCGAGTTCAATCCCCAGCCAGGGAGCTACCCACATGGCGCAGCAGACCTCTCCTGACTCGCCCGCTGCTCCCCTCAGCAGTGGATTTCAGCCAGTCTGGCTGTTCTGCTGCCCACTCTGTCTCTGGTGAATCCTCTCCGCCCCTCCCCCCCACCTCTAGCTTGTACCCCAGTTCTTGTATGCATAAATAAATCTTTAAAAAAAAAATTCGGACTAATCACTGCCAAGACTTTATTAGTCAGGGCCTGTGTCTTCAACCTGAGAGCCTACAAACTCAGTGTGAGAAAGAGCCAAACTTTTCTTTTGGTAGCCAAACACTTTTTTTTCATCTTGCCCCTGCTTCTCTGCAGCAATTCAATAAACCTGCCTTTTCTGCCTTCTGTACTGTCGCTGGTGAATTCTTTCACCCCTCAACCTCACATCCCTTCTCGGCCCTTAATTTCTCTCCCACCGCAGAAGCCCGCGAAAAAACACAAGTTTTGACTCCAAACAGCCTTCATCTGGACTGGCCCAGCTGTCCCTCACCATCACCGACTTAGAAAACAGCAAAACACAAGGAGGGGAGAGACAGCGCCTCACCATAGAGGGGACTTCCTGGGCCCCCACCCCAAGCCCCAGGTGGTGTTTCAGGAAAAGAGGAAACTTGGGGGCACAGTGTGAGCAGGGACAGGAATGGGCGGCCCGGCTCACCCCTGCACTGACACTGAGGCTGTGTGACCTTGGGCTGCTTGCTTCACCTCTCTGGGCCTCCACTTACTCACGCGTGCTGGGTCCTAACAGAACTTTCCTCCCAGGATGGCTGAGAGGATTGAAGGCCATTTGTGCTCAAACCAGCCCCAGGAGACGGCTTCTCCTCTCCTTCCTGGCCCATGTCAGCGGTGGCCAAGTCTTTAAAGACATCTCAGCCCTGTCTGGGCCCCCAGATGCCCTGGAAGCTTTGAAGCACTCCCTGGCCAGCCCGTGCTCTGGGGAGTGTCAGTGACAGGTCTGCCCAGGGCACCCCTATTCCTACAGCTTCCCAGATGAATTCAGTGTGTCCCCTCCCTTCCGGGCAGTGAGAGCTGCTACCCGAGGGCCCACAACAGGGCTTCTCAAACTAGTTGTGCGTTAGAATCATCTGGGAGGCTTTTAAAACCAGCGCCCAGGGGATCCAAGCCCAGGGGATCCAAGCCCAGGGGATCCAGCAGGCCTGGGGTGGGGGCGAGTCACACTGTGTTTCTATCAAGTTCCTAGGAGGTGCTAATATCGCTGACCCCAGGACCTCACCAGCTGGACCCCTGCCCTACAGAATTGTTCCCATTCCACAGCCCGGCGTTGAGGGACCAGGGGAAGTTTTGGCACCCTAAGGTGCTGGGCGGGTGCAGAGCACCCTGAGCGCGAGGGAAGCACCTTCGCCTGCTCACCTTGAAGCAGCGGTCCTGGAGCGCCGCCTAGTGGTCTCGGCGGGCACAGCCGCCGTGGGGCTTTCTCCCCGGTCCAGTCGGGGTACGGGTCACGGGAGGGGGGCGGCTGCTGCCCCTCACTCTTCCCTCCCAGGCGGTCTAGCACCTGCCCAGACTCCGAAAGCGCTCGGAGTCCGCCGACTGGGCAGAGGTCAGCCTGCGGGTGGGGGGCGAGATTGGATAGGGGTTTGGAGAGGTGACCTGGGCTTCATGGTCAGGAAGCGTTGTGGGGGGGCCTGCCCTTGTGAGAGGGCCCCGGAGTAGGACATTCTGTATGTTCCCTCCCTTCCAGCCCCTCTGAGCCTCGGTTTTGTCATCTGTAAAACGTGAACAGTCAGCCTGAAGTTGTGTTAAAACAATCTGATCGCTGCAAACGGTGCCCGGGATATAGTAAGACCAACCTATAAAAACATTGTTGTTATAATTTGTGTTGATTCTCTGCCCCCGACTCCAGCGTGCAATAGGGTCACGCTCTGTGCCTGCCCCGCGGGCCGCGCCTTAACCAGCTGTCTGGAGCGCCCCCTGGTGGGCACCGTGGGCACAGCGGATCCTGGTCTTGCCTTTGGCGTTGGTAGGAGGGGTTCCCTTCTGACCTTCTGTCCCCCAACCCTTTTTCCTCTCTTGGGCTATTCTAAGACCTGGTACACACCCGGGGATTTGGGGGTAGGGGGTTCCTTGTCCTTGATCAGGATGGGGTCTCAGCAATGGAGGAGGGAGGGAGGTAAGGAGGCCTTCACCCTGGGGGTGTCTTGGCCTCAGCCTCAGAGAAGCCACCTGCCACGCCTGGAGGATTGGGGTTGATGATAAAAAAGGTTCTAGAGGGGCCTTCCTGGTGGCGCAAGGGGTTAAGACGCAACACTATGAAGCTATCCCCCCGGGGAGCTGACCCACAGGATGCAGCAGACCTCTCCTTTTCGCCCACTGCTCCCCTCAGCAGTGTATTTCGGTCAATCAGCCTGTTCTGTTCCCCACTCTGTCTCTGGTGGATCCTCTCACACCCCACACCTCTGGCCTGTACCCCAGTGTAGGGTAAGGTAAAAGCTATCAGGCTTTTCTGCCCTCCCGCCATCAGGATAGATGATGGATCCTTGCGGTCCTGAATGCATGCCTGATGGCGGGCACCTGGAGTTGGGTGTGGGCATAGGTAGATGGGATTCACCTGGGCTGAGACTGGGATTTTTTTTTTTTTAAGGGCGGCATCATGGGGACACCAGCAGAAGCCGAGAGAGAAGCAGAGCCATGAGAAGAGCAGAGAGAATGTGAGAGAAGGCCAGAGAGCCCAAAGTGAAGACTTGCTGGGGGCTGAGAGGCCTGCGCCCCTGCCTGCTGTGTACCTGGCAATCCCAATAAAACCCTGCAAAACCACTGAGGACTCTGACTCCTCCTTTACCCGGTCTGCTGGATCAGAAAACCTGCACTGTGGTCATTCCTGCCTCTACACCCAGTTCTTGTATGCATAAATAAATATATCTTTTAAAATAAATAAAATAAAACAACGCTGTTTTCTTATATGGATATTTGAGGCCCTAGATTTGTAAATCTTGGAGTACCTATTCAGGCAGTACCCCTTAATTGTGTCCCACTGGGGTCTTTAACGAAAAAAGAGGCGTGTATGTATGTAGGGTCGGATTGCAAAATTGCTTACTGAGGATTAGAATTGCTTATAGATGGCATTTCTTACAGTTCACTGGCTTGGGGTTAAAGTGACTTTAATTAATAGAAAAAAAATATTTCTGGACAGTGCAGAGAGAAGTCCGTGTTAAGCAGAGAACCAGATTCTGCCGGTCAGGACCGGGTCTTCACAAGTTAAAAGTTGAGCAAGATGGAGTCTGCGGTGCAAGATGGAGTCAATTCAGCCCACCTGCAAACACCCCTTCCTCCCACTAGAGGGCGCGCTGGCCCAACAAATGTCTAATCAGCGCCTCTGCCATTTCCTGACCTAGGCCTGACAGTAATTCGCATCCCTGCTCTTGCAGCCCCAGCGCCCCCCACACCTGAGCTCTACATCAACAGCTAGCTGAGACCCAGCCCAAATGGAAGAAAGCGAGGTTCAGAGAGGGTGTTTGATTTCCCCAAGTCACACAGCAACTAGGCGGCAGATAAGCTTCCAGTCCCAGCCTCTGTGACTTCACCCCTTGTTGCTCTGTTCTTTGACAAGTTTCCCCAAAGAGATGGTGGTGACCGGCCCCTTTGATGGAGTGGTGCTCAGATAGTGGGTTCCCAGCCAGGCAACCCCAGACCCCACCCCAACAGAGTTTGTGTGCTGTCGGGCAGATTCTCAATCACCTCAGGTTCTCCAAGTTGCTGGATGAGGTAGGTCCCATTATTCCCGTTTTAGAGTTGGGGTCACAGGGCAGGGAGGTGGCAGAGCTGGGGCTACCCTGAGGAGACTCCCCATGCTAGGATGGGGAGGTGGAACTTCTGGACAGGCGAGGGAGGAACTAAAGGGTGTGGGTCTGCCCTTCAGTACAGGGGAAGGAGAGCCCAGCTGAGTCAAGGAAAGGGCGCTCCTCTGTAACCTGAAGCCGAGGTTCAAGGGAGCCCAGCAGCCTCTCGCTGGAGGTCTGGAAGTTCTTGTGTTTGTTTTAAGATTTATTTATGGGTACAACATTTGGGGTCTAGAGCCTCCCTGGTTGCACAATGGGTTAAATCGCAACACTATGAAGCTGTCCGCAGCCACTGCAGCACGAGTTCGAGCCCCAGTCAGGGAGATACCCACATGGCGCAGCAGACCTCTCCAGTCTCGCCTGCTGCTCCCGTCAGCAGTGTATTTCAGTCAGTCTGCCTGTTCTGCTCCCCACTCTGTCTCTGGTGAATCCTCTCACCACCCACACCTCTGGCCTGTACCCCAGTTCTTGTAGGCATAAATAAATCTTTTTTTAATAAAAGATTTATTTATTTATGCAAGCACTGGGTACAGTCAGAAGCGCGGGAGGATGAGAGAATTCACCAGAGCCAGTGTGGAAAGTTGAAAGGGCGCATTTATTGATGACCCTGTGAGAGAAGAGGGCAGCCCAGAGTGCATGGCCAGGAAGTTGGAAGCATTTTTTGTAGTACTCCAGACTTGTGGGCTTCGTAAAACTGAGGACATCTGTGGCCATTAAAGCTGATGTATATTCTGAATTCTGGAAAGCACAGGGACTAGAATATACCTCAGCTTTAATGGTCACAGGTGGGCTTTATGGCCGTTTCAACAACAGGCGGTTCCCTTATCTGCCCAAGGTCTTCCGGCCCAGTTCCCAGGGGAACCCTTCAGCTCCCCTTATCCCTTCAAAACTGTCCTTCCCAGCCTGCGGGGCCCCTAAGAGGCTGGGCTTTCTTTTTTTTTTTTTTTTTTAATATAGAGGCATGTTATTTATTTATTTATTTGTTTGCTTGTTTGTTTATACATGCACTGGGTACAGTCAGAAGCGCGGGAGGGTGAGAGAATTCACCAGAGCCAGAGCGGGGAGCAGAGCAGGCAGAAGGACCGAAGTACACTGCTGAGGGGAGCAGCGGGCGGCAGGAGAGGTCTGCGCGCCATGTGGGACCCTCCGCTGGTGGCTGGGGAGCAGCCGGGGAACGAACCGGCGCCGCAGAGGCCGCGGGCAGCCTCGCAAGCCAGCGCTCAACCGCTGCGCCACCGGGGAGGCCCGAGGCTGGGCTTTCAACCCTAGAAACCGCAACACTCTTGCCTGGTGATAATTCCCGGTGGGTTAAACAAACTTCTAGAAGGAACCTGCCTCTTCTGGCCTACAGGTCCCATGCTTTCAGGTAAACGCGGCTAAAACAGGAGTCAGCTGGAGAAAGTCACACTTCAATCAAGAGAGAGCCAGTGAGCTGCACCCCCTAACTAGGACCCCTCCTTCTGTGGCTTCTATTTGGCAGGGCGGGGAACCTCTCCCTGGTTTTGGACCCCAGCTCAGGTGCCCCCACCTCCATCCCCCAGCCTCTGGGTCTGATTCTTCCCAGGGCTGGGCTTTCCGGGCTTCCTTTCCCCAAACCTGCTCCAAGGAAACCTCCAGCATTTCGTTTATTACCCAGGTTATTACCAGGTCCAAACAACCTGTTACCTTAGGGATGTCCTAAGGACTTAGACATTTGGAAATACATTTGTCATTAAGGATTTTAATGAAAAACATAATTGTCATTACAGTTTTAAATGAAAAACATACGAGTCGAAAGAAAAACAAGAAGATTTTGATTTCATTTAAATAAGCGGGTTTACTCGTGTGGGCCTGCGCGGGCACACGTTGGGGCGCTGCCCTTCTCAGATTTGGGGAGCCGACGGCACACCAGCACCCTTACTTCCACTTCCGCGTTGATTTTCGCGTGGGATTTGTTTTGTTTTTTAACGTCTGCAAACAGCGGAAACGCCACGGAGAGGTCGGCCTCGCGGATCACGGTGGAAGCGGCGAACTACCGGGGGCTGTAGTTCACGTGGTGGCCGGCAGGTGTCGCCGCTGCCCTCAAAATTCTGCCCCAGCGCTTGGCTGCGCCCGCGGGCCCGGCGAGCGGCGGGGCAGGTGCGTGCGGTCAGCGCAGGTGCCTCGCGGGGTTGCGTGCACGTGCAGCCTCCGCAGGGCTCCCTCACGCGCACCGCACGCGGAGGCCGCCCCAGGGGAAAGCACGGCGAGCTGGGAGATGCGGGGTGAGGAAGAAGCACGTCTTAAAACCTCAAAGCCGCAGACCCCCCAGGCGAGACGTGGCGGCGCTTAATCAATTTGGGGAGTTTCTGTTAACGCAGCAGCACAAAGACGCAGGAGAATGCGGGGGACGGCTGTGCGTGCACATCTTGGGGACACGGTGAGACACAGGCCTGCTGGCCACGGAGGAGGGAGAGGAGGCAACCACAGCGTTGGAACCACAGGTAAAAAACACCTCCAGGCCTCTTGCAGGGGCAGCGCGGCGAGGGCGCAGGGCGCTGGGTTGAGCCGCAGGGACGGAGTAAGCGCCCGCGGGCCTGCTGCTGCTTGGAAGGGGGTTGTCGCCGCCTAACAGTTAATTCCAAGCACCTGAGGCCCAACCACAAATGTCCGTTGAAGCAGAAGGGCGAGAACTTCCTGTGACGCGGGCTGACGCGGGCCTGGGTGGGGAGCCTGCCTGGCTCCCTCCCTGATTGACACCTGGTGGCGGCTCCCCCAGCCCTCCCGCCCAGGTCAGGAAGCCTGCGGCTGCCCCTGGCGTGGGGACCAAGCTCTAGGACCTGGCGCCCACCCCACTTGACACAAGCCCGAGACCTCACTGGACGCATCCTGTCCACCCACAGAGCCGACACGTGTGCCTCTAGCCAGCGAGGTTTAGGGCTATTTCTCGGGCGCCTGAGCAGTGAAGGGGTTCGTTGTGCCCAAACCCGGAAATGTCGTCCCAGATGGTGACACCCGCAGCCTGGCCTTGAGACTCACGTGGGGGTTTGGGGCCACACAGCACCGCGGGCTCTCTGAGGCCAGCGGCGGGCTGTGAGGGGCCACCCGGCGAGGGCCCCGGACGCTGGGCTCTGGTGAGCTTCCCTGGAGGGCACTGCGTCTGCAGGTGCTTCAGGAGAGTGGTGCCTGCCCTGTGAGGAGTCGTCCTCTCTGTGGGGAGGATGGGGCTGGCGCCTGGGCTCTGGCCTCTGTGCGGTTCTCTTGGCCACTTTATTATTTTTTTAAAGATTTTTAATAGAGATTTATTTATTTATGCATAGGCGTGGGGGTGGGGTGGAGTGAGAGGATTCCCCAGAGACAGAGTGGGGAGCAGAATAGGTGGATTGACTGAAACATACTGCTGAGGGGAGTAGCGGGGAGACAGGAGAGGTCTGCTGTGCCATGTGGGTAGCTCCCTGGCCGGGGATGAAACTCGTGCTGCAGAGGCTGCGTACAGCTTCATAGATTGCATCTTAACACCTTGCGCCATCAGGGAGGCCCCTCTTGGCCACTCTAGCTCTTGGCTGTGATAAGCCCTAACCGCGAAGAGCCCCCAGGCCTGCATGTGCCCAGAAAGGGGCAGGTCCACGAGAGCCAGGCAGGATGGGCAGCTGGACCCGCTCAACATCACCAGTGGCGCCCAATAGAAGGGACGTGGAGGGCCTCCCCGGTGGCGCAGCGGTTGAGCGCTGGGTTGCGAAGCTGCCTGCAGCCTCTGCAGCCGGTTCGATCCCCGGCTGCTCCCAGGCCACCGGAGGAGGGTCCCACATGGCGTGCAGACCTCTCCTGCCGCCCGCTGCTCCCCTCAGCAGTGTACTTCGGTCCTTCTGCCTGCTCTGCTCCCCGCTCTGGCTCTGGTGAATTCTCTCACCCTCCCACGCTTCTGACTGTACCCAGTGCATGTATAAACCAAACAAACAAATAATAAATAAATAAACAAATAAGACATGCCTCTAGAAAAATTAAAAATTAAAAATAGAAGGGACGTGGAAACACCCCTGGTGTGCGGTGTAGAGAGCAAAGTGGGGTCCGGGCAAGGCTGCAGAGGCAGGGGGTGATGACAGCCCGGGTGGGTCCTCGCTGATGGGGACACTGGGTCCCCAGTGTGCACGTGCTGTTGAGGGGCTCCATCGGGTACGTCAGCACACCCCCTGAGGCCTGAGATGACCTTGACAATGACGGGCGGACAGGGGAGTGCTTGGCTGAGCCCATCAGGGATGCCCAGGAGATGAGGGGGGTGGCTCCCAAACCCCCAACTCCGTTACCTCAACTCCAGCAGCTCCACCATGCGAGACAAGCTGACTTACAATAATGACTTTATTTTAACATATTTAATTACAGACATAAAATAGCTGGGGAAGGGGATGAGCCCCAGCCTCGCCCCGCCCTGGGGCTGCCAGGAGGGGTGCAGTCGAGGCCTCCCTGATGACCCTCTTTCGGGTCTTCCTGTGGTGGGCCCTATTGCTTTAGCGGGGGAGGAGCCATGCAAACGAGGGGGCGGGGAAGCCCCGGGCCCCGCCCCGCCCCGCCGCCGGCCTCCCTCCAGAATGCCCGGACTGTGCCCCAGCCCTGCCTCTCCGCCGCCTTCCTCTTTGTCCCGGGAGCAGACCCTCTGGTCAGCCCCCAAGCCCCCTCTGCAAACCTAAAGGGGAATAAATACAAACTTTACAAAGTAAAAGGGGGGTCCAACGTGGCCCTAGGCTGGGCCTGGGGCCGGTGGGGAGCGGGCCGGCGGGGCCTCACATCATCCCCAGCTGCAGCAGCGTGCTGGCGTAGGCCATGGGCTTCACGTCGGGATGAGGCTGCGGAACCAGAGGCACACAGGGGCTTCAGGGGCGGCCCGGCACCGAGCTGTGGGTGCTGGTGCGGGGCTGGTGAGCCCCCAGCCGGCCCCTCCGCCCCCTTCCCAAGATCCAGACCCCGGGGGACTCACCACTGCTGTGAACTGGTGGAACTGGGGCCGCAGGTCGGAGCCCCGGAGGTGGATGTAGGAGGCTTTATTCCCCATCTGGTCGCTGTGGAGACAGGGGCGGAGCACCCGTGGGGTGAGGAGGAGGGGAGCGAGGAGACCCGAGGTGGCTGGAGGGCAGAAAGACCAGCAGCAAGGAAGGAGACAGAGCCCACAGCGAGAGCGAGGGAGAGAAGGGGGCCAGGCAGAAGGGGGACTCCAACGAAGCCCAGAGTCCAGGCCCGAGAGCCCCTCTGAGCCCGAGGAGCAGGGGCAGAGGAACGTGATGTCCGCAGCTGAGGGGACTGGGCCTGGTTTCCTGAGCCAAAGCGGGACAGGACAAGAGGTGGCGCTGGAGGAAGCCGGGGGGCGGTTATGAGGCGCATGTGGGTCCAGCTCTGAGGACACCACGAGGTCGTGTGAGGGGACGCCGGGCTCGGGCCAGGTCTGCGAAGGGGCCAGGGTGCTCTGTCCTGCACAGAAGCCCTTTTCCTGCAGATTCTTTGGGGGTGTGGGTGCTGCCCGCTGGCTTAGAAGGGGGCACGTGTGGTCACGGCAACATGGATGACAACGATCTTATCTATTGCATATCTCTGGAATTTTCTACCACGGGTTAAGCCACCAGTGGACTGGGCAGACGCGGCGGGTGGGGAGGCGGACGCACCAGTAGTTGGGGGCGGAGAAGACGGTGACGCAGCGGCCACTGTGCGCCACCTCGTAGCCCTCGGCCTTGACCTCGTGGCTGCGGATGATGTAGTCCAGGTGGTTCTCCTCCAGGAAGGCCTTGGTGACGTCAGGCCCAAACTGGCAGCTCACGCCCCGCTTGCTGACCGAGCGCCCATTCTGGGGAGACAGGAAGCTCAGGGTGCCCGCCTGCCAGCACCACCCCCACCCCACTCCCAGGGCCAGGCAGACTCACCTGCGGCTGTGGGTCTGACCAGAGCAGGTCGCACATGGGACCTGGGGAGCAGAGGGGATGTCAGGGACCCGCCCCCTCCCTGGGGTGGGTGCTCACAGGCCACCACCCAGCCCAGAGGCCAGCACACCCTCCAGCACTGTGCTGGGGGCCAGCAGGGGACTCGCTCTGGAGAACGTGGGGCTCCCAGCTGGCCTCAGGCCTCTCTTCTGGGGACTGCCCAGCGCCCCCATCAAGCCCAATGCAACTGATATGGCTCCACAGCCAGGAGGGGCTCCTAACTGGGTTCAGATCAGGCCCCTCTCTCCTCCAGGCCTCGGGTCCCCCACTGCCCTAGCGCAGAGCCCCAGCTTCTCACCCAGGCCTGGGAGGCTGTACTAGGTCTTGAAACATCCAGTGTGAACCCATTTAAAGTACCCTTAAAATCCCCAAACCACTGGTCTCCAGCTGGTCCTCCCTCTAGGCAAGCTCTCGCTGGCGAGGGATCCCTGTGCTCACCTAGAACATTCAGTGAGTCTCATGCCTCTGCCACCTCCAAGGGTCTCCTCAGTGGTCACCATGGCCCCTGCATCCCAAGTCTGCCCCCCACCAGCCAGAGCCCCAGTGCATCACTCCAGGGTCAGCAGCTGAACTCTGTGGACACGGAGGCCCCCCCCACCCATCAAAGGGAGGCTGCAGTTCAGCCTCCAGGTCTTGCCAAGGGCAGAGTCCCTCGGGCAGTTCCGGGGTCACCCAGGACCTGAGTCCAGGCCGCGCTTCTCGCTGGAGGCACCGAGGCCCTGGGAAGGAAGAGACTTCCTCCCAGCACCCCTCACCTGAATCTGGGGGCTGCCGATTCCTCTCGATCTTCCGGATATCGTCCAGGGTGACGCCGTCCTCGCTGAACAAGCCCCCGTGCATGATCTGGGGTTTGGAGTGGAGATGGCCATGTGAGGGGGATGCCAGCCCTGCCCTGTCTCCTCCTCCAACTTGCTTCACCAACACCTCTGCCTATAAGCGGCCCTCACGGTGGGGGTGCACCCCTGGGTGCCCGCTGCCATGCTCACCAGCACTTTGCCGTTGATGCACTGGGCCAGCGGAAGCCACTCGAACACCTCGCTGAAGAGCTCATACATCTGGGCTGTGTACTTGGCCTTCACCTCGCCCTCGAAGCCGTAGATCTGGTTCATGTTGTCTGTCTCATGGTTGCCTGGCCAACAGCAGGAAGGGCTGTTTGTGGGTGCACACTGCCCCACACAGAAACCCCACCGGTGCACTATCTCAGTCCCTCTTCTGGAGGAGTAAACTGAGGCTGAGACGCATACATGGGCACAAGGCCTGGCCCCGGCCCTGAGTGACTCCAGGTTCCCTCCCTGCGAACCTGCCGTGCTCCCCGGCTGGAGGTACCACGGGGGCAAGTCCTGGCAAAACACAGGCTGGGTGCCGAGCACCTGGACCCCCAGAGCAGCCACCACCGCTCACCCTCTCTTTTCCTAGAACTCCTACCCCACCACTGCCACCCGGGCAGCACTACCCTGGGGGGAGAGCAAGTCCCTGCCAGGGGCCCCACCTTGACCCCAGGCCCTGCAGCCTCCCAGCTCACCTCGAAGTAGGTGAAAGTGATCAGGGTACAAGAGCTTAAAGCCGAAGAGGGTGAGGATTACTTCTACAGAGAAAGAGCCGCGGTCCACGAAATCGCCATTAAATATCTGTCCTGCTAAGGAAAATGGGGTGTGCGTGCCTTCCCCAGTATCTTCAGGCCCCCAGGCCCTGGAAGCAACCCAAGAGTGAGGAGGCTGGTGCCCCTCAAGGCCTGGCCCCGCAGCTGGGCTCTCTGAGCTTCGGGGGACACACTGAGGGCCCTAACCTCACCTGCTTCTCAGAAGGGGATACACCAGGTGGCCAGCTGCTTCAGCTCTGCCCAAATGCAGCCCCAAAGCCACAGGGAGGCAGGACCCGCCCCTTCCAACACCGTGCATGCCCGGGGCAAAGGGGCGTTCGCCAGGCGGACTCGACGCTGGCAAACCCCCACTGTGGGCCACTCAGCACTTAGAGCGGTAGGTCACTCGTTCCTCTCAGTGCCCCTGGGAGGTGGCTGTGATCACCCCCATCCTGTAGCTGAGGAATCTGAGGCACCAAGAGGGGTGGACTGGTTGGGGGGCTGCGGGGCACTTATGCATTCGGCCTGCAGCAGCCCTGGACGGAGCAGCAGCACGGGACGGAGCAAGGGCAGGGCACAGACTGAGCACTCGCCAGGGCGGTACAACGCGGAGGGCGGCCCGGGCTGCTGTCCCAGGGTGCAAGGCTGGCCTGCGCCATCCACCGGAGCAACCACTCAGGCTTCTCCCTTCCCAGATTTGGGCCTCTTTCTCTGGCAGGGGTTCCTCTCCTCTTGCACCCCAAATCCAGGTGGAAGGGTGGGAGGGGTCTGTTCTGAGGAAGGATACATAGGGGTTGGTCTCTGAGGGTAAACCGTTGAGCTCAAATATGTTGAGGAGGTCATAGAACTGGCCGTGGGTGTCCCCGCACACTGTAATCTTCTCTGTCTGGAAGAAAAGAGGCCACCGGAGAGGGAGGGCCCAGAGAGAGGCGTGGGGAGGGGGCAGAGGTGAGGGGAGGGGAGAGAGGTCAGGGCAGAGAGAACAGCCATGCAGAATACAGAGGCAGGGAACAGAGGTGAAGAGGCGGGGCAGGGACGAGAGCCCCTCAGGATGGGGAGATGCCAAGACAGAGGGCAGGCGGACCAAGCTGGTGGGTCTGAGTTTCTGAGCTCCGTGGCCCCTCCCCAGCCAGGGGGCCCACCCACCCGCCGCCCCAGGCCGGCCCTCAGTGCACACCTCTTTAAGCGTCGTCTCCACCAGCGTGCTCAGCTTGGAGAGGACCTCTTTGACCTGGACCAGAATCTGGAAGGCAGGGCAGGCTGTGAGCGGGGCTGGCAGGAGGGCCTGGACTGCCCAGGAGACACCACTGGGGTGGGGTGGGGAGCGGAGGGGGCGGCCTGGACCAGGGTTGGTCAGCCAAGCGGCCCCCATCGTGACCAGGGTGGCCGCTAAGCGTGGGATCCCTTCACGAGGGCCTAGATTTCTAAGTTTCTGTTAAAATAATCAGCATCCGTGTGTGAAGAAACATGGATGAATCCAGACATGGAACGTTTTAGAAACACCTGACTCAGACATGTCCAAGCGTCAACGTCAGGGAAGAGGCTGCCCACAAAGGCTGTTCTAGATGAAAGCGGGGAAGCAGGCCTGCAAGATGCCTGGATCCCAGGCCTGGAACCCAGATCCTCCTGGATTCTGGGTTCAAAGAAAGAATGTTTTGGGGAAAGCCGGAGGAAATGCAAACATTCGCCTGGAAACGCAGACGGTCTTAGCCCTCCTAGGGCGGACATGGCCTTGACCACGTCGCGTGCAGCTGACAGCGAGTGCTGCTGGACTTATGGGCACCATCGGCCGGGCTGCTCAGGGGTCGAGGGGCCTACAGTCCCGTAAGAGGATGTCCCTGCCTGAGGAGATCGTGGCCATGGTGGCTGCGACTTATCCACAGTGGGTAAGAAGAACGCGCGTGCGCGGACACCTAACTACGTAGAAAGATTGAGAAAAAGTAAACATACCAAAATGTGAACAATGGGTGAACCCAGGAGAAAGGTGTGTGGGTGTTCATTGTACTATTCTTTGGATTTTTTTCTGTAGGTTTGACTAATTTCAAATTTTAAATTTGACAATTTCAATTTTAAAAGTTGGGGACAAGATGTTAAGAAAAGGTAGGTGTCCGCTTCTGACTTCTGGTGAGAAAGCAGAAGTCAGAAAAGACGGACTCTCCTGATGAGAACAAGTCAATAGCCAATAAAATTAAAAAAAAAATAAACAAAAGCTGGCGAGAGAGGCTGCACAGAAGCCCTCGCGGCGGAGGCCTGCCCGCCCATGGCGTTTGCAGGGCCAGGTCTGCCAGGGCCGTGCAAGGGAGCCGGGGGCCGCTGTGGCCCAAACAGCCCCGCAGAACGACGCGCCCTCTCCTGGGAAGATCTCTCTGAGAAAACACAGTGAGGAGACTCCCGGCCCCGGCCACAAAAGTGGGGGACGAGCCCAGAGAGCAGCGGATCCCCAGCGACTCAACCCTTTGGTGCAGGGCTGAAAAGAAGAGCACCCCGAGTTCCCAAAGGAGACTGAAGTGTGAAGACCTCCCTGGGGGTTGCCAGGGCTTGCACCCCAAGCCCTGCTAACAGGGGTCCCGATCCCCCTTAGAGAGCAGCTGAGGCGGGTGTGCTCCCGACAGTACCTGGTAGGCGCACTTCCGGTGCAGCTTCTTCTGGTCCTTGTACCACTGCATGAGCTCCTTCATGAAGGCGACCGTCACCTTGCCGTCCTCCAGCTTGGGCCCACTGTACTCGTCTTCAATAGCTGCGGGTCGGGCACCGCCATCAGGGCTACTGCCCGTGAGGGTGGGAGGGGGCTGGACACCCCAGCAGGGGTGAGAATGGGGTCCCCCACACCCACCAAGCCCTCTCCCGGAGGCTCCTGCCGTGCAGGTGGGCTCAGAGGTGGCTCCCTGCCCTGTCCTGTGTGCCCCTCGCCAGCACCCGCCTTTGATCTGTCGGTTACCGCTGCTCGCTCACTTGCTAACTAGCTGGGCATGTCTCTCCCCAGCACAGCGTCCGCTCTCTGCGGACGGGAACTGCGGGTTCTGGCTGAATGGCAGGGCAGGACCTGGCACAAGCTGAGCTCAGCAGGGACCCGGGCAGTGGATGACTGAGTCACCAGGGGGCCTAGAGGCCAGTCAGACATGGAAGGTCCAGAGGGCCAGTGGCTATTGCTGGGGGAGCAGCCAGAGAACACAACCCCCAGCCCTCGATGTGAGCTCCCAGGACGGGGCCCCCTGGGGAGGAGGCACATGCGGGGCCAGGACCCGGCCCACTCACTCATGCTCTCAATGTCCAGCGAGTCCACCACGGAGCGCTTGTGCTCGTCGCCCGCAATGGCCCGCTCGAAGGCCTTCTGCTTCACGACCTTGTTGCACTCCTGGTACTTCACTTTGGCGTCCTTGTCATGGGGCTTCACCTTCACCACCTAGGCGTGGAGGGGGGGTTCAGGCTGGAGTTGGACACACGTGCCCTGTCTGTCCAGTCCTGGCCCCGTGACCCCTGAAGCTGACCACTGGTCATCGTGTGATCTGGGACACCCTTGGGAGGCTCCTGCCCTCCCAACCGGGGCATTGAGGAGCACGGATGTTGTCTAGGGGGCCCCTGGTTCCTCCTCGTCTGCGGAGCAGTGCTCAGCTCCAGGCACCCCTGGCCGGGGGCAGAGCAAGAGACGGGAGTAGCCCACGCTCATGCAGAGAGCCCACAACTGGCCTGCACGCTCAGCCTATCTTCTCGCCTACAAAACGGGGGAATAAAGGCCAGAGGGCCTGGCAGAGGGGAGGGCAGGGCAGCCAGCACCCCGCAGGGCCGTGTCCCTACTGTCGGTCTCTCCAGAGGGAGCTGCGGGACCAGCCACTCCTCAGGTCTCACCTCTGCAGGCCCCAGAGGCCACCTGGGCTCCCGCGCCAGCTCTGCCAGCCACCAGTGGGGCAGCCTCAGGCAAGTTAGTCAGCCCCTGTGACTCTGTTTCCTTTTCCACCTGACAGGAGCGACAGCGCCAAGCCCGGCTGCCATGGGGCGAAAACGCCACCTGCTCACCCACTCCCCAGGGCTCTTTCCTGGCTGCTGTGCTGGCCCCGCCGGATCAGACACAAAGGCGCAGGGCCTGGAAGTGAACTGTCAGAAAAAGGAGCCACCCTCCTTCCCTGCCTCTGACCCCTTCCTACAAACTGACCTCCTGTTCAGAAGCAGACACGCTGGACGCTGCCACTTTCTTGCTGTGTGACCTTAGGTGAGTGACTTTATCCCTCTGAGCCTCAGTATGACTATCTGTGGCCCTCAGTGTAACTTCTCAGAGGAGCCTGCCAGAGCAGTCACTCGCTAACCCCCGCGGTCAGTGTGGCTCCTCTCTGCGGAAGGTTGTGCAGACAGGCCTGTGGCAGGAAGCTGGGTCTCAGAGGGTGATGGCTTCCTCCCTGTCTGGGCAAGCTCAGGCCCAGGCATCCTGCCAGGTGGCTCCACCTGGAGTGTAGGTGTGGCACAAGGCTTGGGAGGCCGTCCCAGACATCGCCAGTGTTCCCAATGGGGAGAGGTTATGAGTTTACACCCTGGGATAAAGTCCAAACCACCACTTGGCCGAGCCGGGAGGGCCCGCTCACCCCTCCACTTTGTTCGCCCGCACACCCAGCCAGGCTAAACTCAAGCCCACGCGTGCCTGCTCCCTCTCACCTCGAGACCCGGCAGAGGCTGCCCCTGGCCCAGATTCCTCTTTCCCACCTCCAGCCGTGTCTCGCTCCTCCTCCTCCAGGCCCCAGGCTGGCCAGTCCCAGTCCTGAGCACAGCAGGGACAGTCAAGTCTCCTCACTGGAAGATGCCTGGGGAGGCTGAGTCCAGCCAGGAGCGCAGGCCCCAGGGGATGGGTGAGCCTTAAGCATTTCCTCCCAACTGGCCACTGCTTGAAGCCTGAAGTGGAGGGTGGAGACCCACACCGGTGGTGGGGGCGGTGGGAACAGTGGAGCGGGGGTGGGAACAGTGGAGCGGGAGCAGGAACAGCACGGCCGCTTCCTGAGTACTCGCTCTGCACCCGACACTGCTATGAGCAATCAACACGCTTGTTTCAGCCCCGAAGCAGCTCCATGTGGTGTCATTACGATCCCCACCTGACAAGTGAGGAAGTGGAAGCTAAGAGAGGTGACCTCACCTGCCCGGGCAGGACCCAGCTCTCTCCGGCCCAGATGCGTGACCTCCACTGGGCACCGTGTGCTCCCCCTGCTGCCTCCCTTGTATCGGCAGCCCGAGCGCCATCCAGGTTGGCAGGATGGGTGGTGGTGAGCGCACGTGGGCTCAGGCCAGCCACCAGGCCTTACAGGGAGGGCAGCCTCCCCAGCTTCAAGAAAGTGGGGAGGGGTCCGGTACCCCTGTGCAGGGTTGGCATGACGACCTGCATCACAGGTACACCTCGCCTTACCACCCGCAGGTGTGTGGAGCCCAGTGGGCCTGCGGCCCCTGCGTGTGCCTGCGTCCTGCAGTCACAGGGGCCTGCTCTTTAGACCCGACACCACCGCTCGTGCCTAACAGACCGCAAGGGTGCCACGAGCACCACAAAACCCACACGGCCATGACGCGCTTCCCCTCACAGGTGTCAGGTGTGCCCGGGCTGGCTGCAAGGTCAGCTATGCAGAGGCGCGATAGGGAGACTGCCAGGGGGCTCCCTGCGTCCCTCCGCACAACTACACATGGCGCTGGGGTAGAAAGTGGCTCCTGAAGTGGCACCATCAGCTGGCAGCACCGCAGCTCAAATCGCAGAAACACCAAGCAGCAGAGACCCCGGGGAAGGCTTGGGCGGCGTGCTCGGGAGGGGGGTCTGTGGACCCCATGCAGGCGACACCCAGCAGGCCCCAGCCCACTCTGGACGTCCACTCCCATGTCTGCGGCAGCGCCTGTGGCCTCACCGCGAGGGACCCGCCAAGGCCATCAATTTCTGGGCAGGTTTTGCCTCCCAATGAGTTGCCCGAACAACTGTGGTTTTCAGAACAGCTTGGGTTTGGGGCTGGGGTGAGGGACTGAGACCGCAGCCGGGCGGCCACCTGACGAGCGGAGGGCCACGCCGCTCACAAAGTAAGAGAACGAGAAGCTGCCAGAGTGGCCGGGCCACCCGCGGCCAGCCGGCGGGAGAGGAGCATCCAGGGTGAGCACGGCCAGCGAGACCGCACAGCGCCACCTCACCCCACGGTCGAGACCCGTGAGTGACGCTGGGAAGTCACGCCCAGCGTCCCTTGGTCAGAAACAGAAGAGGCGGTGGCGTGGACCTGCCTCCGGGACCAGGCTGTCACGCGCTGGGGCCTCAGGGGAGGGACCTGCCCGCTGGGCCTTGGCTTCCCCCATCAATGAGGGCTGGCACGTGCCCCCGTGCAAGTTGGCAGGCAAGGTCACAAGCTCCTAGGCCAAGGCCCCGGTGAGCAGGGAGCTGGTATCGGCCACAACTCCCCCTGCAACTGCTGCACACCCACGGGCTCGCAGCACCCTCGGAACCCACGCGCAGGGCTGCGTGAGAAGCCCGGATGCAAACCATGGTACCCACCAAAGTCCCACAGCCCCAGCAAAGGGCAGGATGTGCGGGCGCCCACCTGAGCTCCCAGCACGGGGGAGGGGCGCGGCTCCTGAGGACCCAGTCTGGGGCAAGGGTCCCCTGGGAAGGGGGGATTTCCACACAGATCTCCCCCTGGCGGAAGCAGCATGGAGACACCGCAGCTCGTCCCAGCGCCCCCAAGGCCCTCCCTGCAGGCGGCAGCTCTTGCCCCAGACACCCCAGAAGAACTGGCGCCGAGGGGCAAGCGGCACCCATCCTAACTGACGCCCAGCGCGTGAACCTCACATCCTCGCGACGCGCAAGGCGGCGTGCTGGTTCCTGGTTCCCCAGAGCAGGAGGCCGAGCGGGGTGCAGACCTGCCCGCCTGACCTCGGAGTCGCCGCGCACGCCACACGAGCGGCCTCCAGCCTCCTGACCGCACGCCCAGGACAGGTACTTTACAGCGCGCCAACACGCACCTGCTCGCGGGGGGCATCATTCTTCACCAAGGAAACGCCTCTCCCAGCAAGGAGCCCCCTGTTCGCTCCAGCTGGCGGGGCAGCAGCTCGGGTCCCGACGCCGGCTGACTTCCCGGCCGCTCACGGAAGCCACTCGCGGGACTCAGGCTCTAGACCCCACCCGCCCCCCGTCACTTCTCTGCTGGGCAGCCTTGGAGAGCAGCCCCCTCTGGACTCAAGGCTCCGTCCTGCAAACCAGGCTGACCGGGAAGAGCCCACACGGAGAAGCGCCTACACGGAGCCCGGCGCGGCGAGCGCTCGGAGGGCACTCGGAGGGCACGGGCGAGGGCGGGCAGGCCCTTCACCAGAGGGCTCTGGCCAGGTGCCCTCAGGCTCCTTCCCTCCCCAGGGTCAGCCCTGACTCCACCTCACAAGACGGCGCGGGAGGGCAGGAGACACTTCAGGTGGGGCTTCAGGTGGGGCGTGGCCCCAGGGCCTGACCCCGCTGCCCTGTGTGGAGCCTGGCGCCTGCGGGGGCTGGGAGGGCAAGGAGGCGCAGCGGGAACACCCACGCACAGGGCTGGCTGGTGACCTGACTCGGGGCAATCCCAAAAAGTGGTGGCAGCCCCCTCCATGGCACCCGGAGGTCTGGGGTGAAGCTGAGTGGATGGAGCCGGCTGGCCAGGCATCTCCGCCTCATGGAGCATGTGGGGTGCAGCACCGCCTGGGCCCAAGGAGACAACCCCACCCCCCACCCCGGGAAGGACTTGCCTGCACCCTAGGCAGTGTGAAGACCCGGGGGCAACCTGTTCTCACAGGCCTGGGCTCGGGGCACCTTCTATCTGCTGTCCCCACTTTTCCATCCCCAGCAGGGCCCTCCCCACACTTGGGGCCCTGCCCCATCCAACCCCAACTGTCTTTCTGGGTCACTTGTGGCTGAGCCTCCAGCCCAGTGACCTTTACTCACGGGCCTGCAAAGCCTGCCAGCAGGAGGTGGCCTCTGCGCCTGTCCCTGCTCCCCAGACGAGGACACCAAGGCACACAGGGAGAGGTCTGGCTGGGGCCTGGCCTGGGTGCCCACATTCCTAAGGACTCAGTTCTGCTGCCCCTTCTCGCCCCATCCTCCTGGATGTCACCCCAGCCTCTCCTCCATTCTGCCCCTCAGTCTCTAAATCACCCCGCTCCACACCTCTGCCCCCGCCCCCGACGCAGGTGTCCCCTGGCGCAGGGCCTGGCTCCAGCCTTCAGCGGGCCCCAGGCCAGCACCAGCAGCAGCCCGGCCGCCGCCTGACCCGGCTCCTCCCCCACAGCCCTCAGCGCCTGGTCATCCCTCCCTGCACAGCGGATGCCACCCAGAGTCTGTGATGGCCGGAGTGAAAAGGCGGAAAGCAGGGGTGGCGTATTCATTCAGTGATCGCGGCGGAACCCCGGTCTCGCCAGTCCTGCCAACCCCGCTCTCAGGGAGCGGCCTCTGATGGGGAGACACTGGCTCCAGGGCCAGGCAGTGTGAGGGAGGGCAGGTGACCCGGCCCTCAGGGCCTGTCTTCTCATCTGCCTGAGGGGGGCGACCACCGTTCCCACTGCAAGGGCTGCCGCGAGGACTGGGCATGGACAGGGTGGGAGGCATGCCAAGGCTGTCGTCCCCCAGCCCAGTGCGTCTGGCCCTCGGCCTCTACCTGGCTCAGGTACCAAGAGCTGGTGCTTGGTCCTGGGTCCACTCACCGTCTCGTAGTCGCGCAGGGCGGCCCGGAACTTGCCCAGCGCCATGTTGCTGGCCGCCCGGCGGTAGTAGCCCTTGATGTACTTCCTGTCGATCTCAATGGCCCGCGTGGCGTCCGCCAGCGCGTAGCCATAGCACTCCGTGCGAAGGTAGGCCAGGCTGCGGTTGCCATAGTAGATGGCATTGCTGGGGTTCAGCTCGATGGCCTGGCTGTAGAACTTGATGGCGTTCTCGTAGTCCTTGGCTGTGGAGATGGAGGAGGCATGAGCCAGGGCTACTGCCACCCAGCAAGAACAGGCCCAGGGCTGGACCTCGGCCCCACCTGCCCATTTACAGTTGGGAAACTGAGGCCCATGCCTGAGCTCAGACATGTCTCACCAGGTGTCCCCTCTTCCCTGATGCAGCCCAGGCTAGCGCAGGCCCAGGCCCAGATCACTCCCCCACGCGCACCCAGCTAACCACTGCCCCTCAAGGCTGCATGCGGGGCAGACCTCTCAGGACTTCAGGGCGTCTTCCAGACGCCTCCCTGGCCCAGAGAGGATGTGCGACCCGACGCCAGGGCAGAGACGTGAACCAACAGGGTCTGTCCAGAACCCCTTGGCTGCCAGCTGCACTCCCCAGCTCCCAGGGAAGAAAACCACCCGAAGAGGGCAGAGCAGGGAAGGAGGAATCCGGTCAAGAAGGGGACGCACCAGCAGAGACCCAGACGGGCAAAGAACCAGGGCAGAGTTGAGCATTCCCAGAACAGCAGATGGGTGCCCTGAGCCAGGGGTGCACAGGCACAAACATCCAAGTTCCCGGACCAGTGAGAGGTGGGCTGGCCAGGTGCAGGGTCTGGACACGGATGTTCTAAGCGTGGAGTAACAGGATGTGACATGTGGCCAAGGGGCAAGGTCGAGCTGATCTGAACGGAGCCAGGCTGGGCATGCGCATTACATCCCAAGGCCGGGATCCTCACATCGCCAGGCACAGGCACCTTCTGGTGCTCACTTTATAGAACAGCCACAGAGGTCTTGTTCAAGGTCACACCCCGGTCTGCAGCTGCAGACCCAGGCTCGGGTCTCGGCACCGTCTGGTGCTCACTTTATAGAACAGCCACAGAGGTTTGGTTCAAGGTCAAGCCCCGGTCTGCAGCCTCGGATCTCTCCCACATGCCCAGCAGACAGGCAGGACACTAGCGTGCTGAGGCCTGCCCCCCAATGAGGGGACAGAGGCTCAGAGAGAAAAGTGCCAGCTGAAAAGAGCACACGGCGAGTCGCAGGTAGAGACTCGGCCAGGCCAGCACCCAAATGCTCTCACTCACCCTGCAAGCCACAGGGCCCTGGGCAGGGGCCGGGGCAGGTGGCTGGGCCATTCCCTGCCTCTTACTAGCTGGGTGTCTTCCTGCACCCGCCTGAAACAGAGTCTCAGAGTCCTCCCGCCACTCAGCCTGAAGCGAGAATTCTCCAGGACGCTGACTGCCGTCCAGTAAAGCGGGGCTTTCCTTTGTTGGCTTCTTGGCTTACCATCCATCTCAGGAACCCCCGGGAGGGCAGGGGCCCCATCTGACTGACGTCAGCGCGCCCCTGCCCTGTCTGAGGACACAGCAGCCGCCGGCCCTACCCTCCCGGGGCTCACAGTCCTGTGCGTGTGTGCGTGTGCACACTGGGGGGAGGGGACCCGGATCCGTCCTCAGAGTGATGACTCAGAGCACCGAGGGCTGGGGCAGCCCAGGGGAGATGCTGGGGCTGAGCCGAGGAGGTGAGAGTGAGTCAGGGGAAGAGAATGAATGAAGAGGATCGCGGGCGCCGTGTGAATGGCTCCCGAGTGAATGAACAAAGAGAGCCCGGGAGAGGCATGAAGACACACACATACACCCCCCCCTCCCCCCGCAGGTCCCGGGGAGACAGGCAGAAACCACGGCCATTCCTCCTGCAGGCTAACATCCGGCTGACTTAGCTTTCAAACGGTTTGGACACCCCCTCTTCATCCCCAGGACGGTGGAGCCTAGAAGAAAGGCCCAGGACTCCCCCAAACAAGCAAAGGCAGGGCCAGACAGCCCAAGTCTGACCAGGCCTCCCTGGAATGCCAGCACCTTCGAGGGCTCTTTCCAGTGGCCCTTGATAGGTAAAGAGCTACCTGAGGGCTCGGGCGGGGTGGAGCCTGGGGTCAGGCTCTGTGGCTCCCTCCCTGAGCCTCAGTTTGCTCACAATTTGGACTCGCATGGGCCCTGCCTCATGGTGAGCTGTGACCAAATATGTCTGAAACGTGGTGGCCGCAGAAGGTGCTCAGCAGGCAAATGAATGACTGAGTGAAGGGGGGGGGGGAGCAGAGGAAATGGGAGGGGCCTGTGTCACCCCATGAGTTCGCTTAATCCTTGAGACAGTCCCTGTTTCAGAAATGAGGAAAATGAGGCCCAGGGAGGTTAAGCCATTTGTCGAGGGGCCACACAGCAGGTAAGAGGAAGAAATAAGATCTGAACCCAGGCAGCCGGAGCTGTTAACCATGACCACACCTCCCAGACCTGGCGGCCTCAGAAGGGCAGGGACTGAGGCCCAGAGAGGGAAAAAGGGCCAAGCAACACTGGGACCAGGCTCTGTCACCCCCAGTCTCTGGAAGGGCCTGAGTGCAGAGTGGAGGCCCAGCCTTGGGTGAAGGGGGACCGCTGAGGCCCTAGAAGCCCTCTATCCCCACTGGGTGCGCACAGGTCCAGGTGAAGGCCCTGGGGTCAGGAACACATGGTGAGGAAGGGGGATATCCGCTCACTGCTCACACATGCTGACCTTGGGCGTGCGGTTTCACTTCTGAGCCCCAGCTTCCTCTATAAAACAACACGGCTGCTCCTCCCCCTCTCTCCCAGTGTCCCCGGGAGGATTAAACCAAGAGGTGTACCTGGCCACCACAGGGGCTCAATTAAGGCGAGCTGTAATTATTCTTTTTATTGTTATTCCCAAAGCCTGGGGGCTGGGGCTCCAGCCTAGAGCGGCCTGCCAAACAGCCAGGGCCTGGGTCTGGAGGGAAGGTCTCCTCCTGCCAGCTCAGTGTCAGGACCCCTGGCTGCCCGCCCAGCCCCCCACCCTGGAGGGGGGGCATCCTGAGAGCTCAGATCCCAGTTCCTGGAGGGGGGGGGGCAGGGCCCCCTCCCAACAGCTTGCAGTTTCCCAGAATTCTTATGAGGCCTCAGCATCAACCCCCATGCCTTGGGCTCCTCTTAAGCCCCATTTTAGAGACAGGTCCATCTTGCATGTCTCTCCCCACCCGAGGTGGAGAATGGGCCTGTCCTGAACACCCCCGACCCCTCGACCCCCAAAGCCTGGCAATCACCTGTTCTGTCAAGTCAGCCTCCAGGAAATCTCCCTCCCCACCCTGCTCTGGCCTCCCTCCTGCCCAAGTTCCTGCCCCTCCAGAGGAGTCTTTCTAAAGCACAAAGCTGACCCTTTCCTACCCAGAACCATCTGCGGCTCCCCAGAGTTATCAGCAGAAAACTTGGGGTGGCACCACAGGGGCCTCCCCACACTCCTCCCTCACTCCAGCCCGCGCACTTCCTGGGGTCAGGGTCACCTTACCCGGCCTTCTTTCTGTCTCCACGGAGTTCCCGCCTCCCTTTCTCCAGCCGTGCAAGCACTTCCTTTCTGAAGCGTCTCTGGCACCAGCTGCCATCGCTCCAGCATAGGCAGCAGCACGAGCAAGCTCACCTGTCACCTAGTCTGCCCCTGCTCTCCAGTCTGGCGTAGGTGTCCAGTCTCTACCAGGCGGTGGGGGATCTTTTTCAACCACGGCAGCTCTTTTCAAAGCTTCCATGGCTCCTCAGCACCCTCCAGCTCCCTACCAACTGCTGGATGGCATCCAGAATGACTCTCGCACCCCACCCAGCCCAGAAGGCTTTTCCTGCAGCCCCAGCTCTCCCTGTCTTAGCTCCTGGTTGCTCGAGTTGGACCGCACCTTCCCGCTCTGACTAGGTCTATGCTCCCCTGGGGGCGGTTCTCTTCTAGGGCTCTACACCCCTCTCACCGTCTCATCTTTTCCATGGCTTTGCTGACCCCCCACCCTGCAGGACCCATTCCTCTTTCTGCTGGAGCATACTCTCTCTAGTCTCTTTTAGCCTTACAAAAAAAGAAAGGAAAAAAGCAACCTCTTTCCGTCCATTTCTCCACTCCCTTTTAGAAACAGTCCCCAACATCTGCTATCACCACCTCCTCGCTCCCCATTCATCGCTTCCCTCCCAGGCGGCTAACACCCCCACCTGCCCCAGATGCTCTGGTCCAGGTCACCACTAACATTCATGGAGCCAAATCCAAAAGCCAGTGCTCAGGGCTCCTTGGCAGCATTCGACCGAGGGCACAGTCCCTCTTTCTAGAAACACTCTCTTCTCTCACCTTTCCTGATGTTCCTTCCACTTCACCAACCACTCAGTCTCCTCATCTTCTGTTCTCAACATTAGAATTCTTCCAGATTCCGTCCTAGGCCCCTACTTCCCTAGGTGACCTCATCCAATCCCAGGGTATTCCATTCCATCCAGGGGGGGTGGGAAGAGCTGGTGCCCAAATTCTTCTCCTCAGGGGTCCAGACTGGCCTACCTGTCTACTCAAGGTCTCCTCCTGGATGGCTGAGTAAAATCCAAACTAGTCTTTGCAATGACTTATGAGACCCTGCACCATCTGGACAGTGTCCTAAACTTATTTTGCACCAGTCTCCCTGCTAACTCCATGAAGTTCCAGCAACACCAGACTCCTTTCAGTTTTCACCTCAGTGCCTTTGCATGTGTGGCGGCACCTACCCAGAATACATCTCCCCAACTCTCCCTCAGTCTTCCCCTCAGTAAGGGCTTCCCTGACCACTCAATCTCAGCAGCCTCCAACAAGCGTCTCTCTTTCACATGCTGCTGGGGTTTTTTCAAAGCACTCATGACAACTTCTAAGTATCTTATTATTTGTGTGTTTACTCAATGTCTGATTCTCCTAGTAAACTGCAAGCTGTGTGAGGGCAGGGTCTCACTGGCTGCTCTATTCAGCCTAGAACAGTCCTGAGCACACAGCAGGTGCTCAGTAAACATGTTGAATTAATAAAGGAATTGGTACCCCCACAGCTTACTCTTTTCTAAGTTCCTAAGTCATTATTCTTGGGATTTCCCCCACCTTTACTCTCAAGCCCCCCCAATGCGTTTTCGTCACTTAACAACCAATCTCCTTGCTTGCCTTCTAATCCATTCCCCATCTCCACAATCCCCTGCTCTATGGGGGCAGTTTCCCCCAAGCCCTACTTGGTGCCACCCACCCCAGGTCTCCCCACCGGGTAGCACCATCACTCCCCGGTGCCGTGTCACCACCCAGTAGCTCCCTCCTCGGGTCTCACCATATACTAGCACCTCTCGGGGGTTCACACTGGGTAGTACCCCCATTCGCGTTCCCCTCCCGCTTCACACTGGATAGAGGCCGCCTCCGTCTCCCCACTTTGCAGCACACGCTCCGGACGCCACTTCCAGGTGTCACCCCATCTCTCTGAAGCCCCCGTCTGTCGCCACCCGGTAGCGCCATCCTGGGCCTCCCCACGCCGGGTCACTTGGTCGTGCCTGCCCCGCGCCCAGGCTGCCGCTCCGCGTTGCCATGGTTCCGCGCGGGCCGGCACCCCTCGACCCCAGACGCTCTCCACCCTTCCTCGCCCCTCCAGGGCGGGCGCACCTTTGAAGTAGTCGTTGGCCTGCGTCTTGAGCTCCTCCGCCCGCTTCAGAGCGCCATCGGCCGGGGGCTCGTCCCGGGAGGGCTCCGCACACTCAGTCCGCTCGCCCTCCGCCATCGCCATGCCGCAAAGCGACCCCCACCCTGGCAACGGCCGCCAGCGGCACCCGGCCGAATCGTCGCGAAGGAGTGCCGAGTTGCCGCCGCCGCTGCTGCACAAGTGTCGTAAAGCGCGGGCCCCGAAGGCGCCCTTGGCGCGCCTGCGCAGGACCCTCTCGCCACAGAGCGCGCGGAGGACAAGGTGACCAGAGGGACTCCAGTCGGCGCCCTTCCTAGGATGAGCCAATGGGGACGACGAAAAGGGGCGCGCGGGGAAAAAGGGCCCGGCGTGACCCCTGCGCCCAAAGTTACCACGTTCCGGGGCCTCCGAAGTTTCTCTGGTCTTAAAGCGCGATTGCCCCGCGGGCTCCGAGGGTGGGTGGGTGGCTAATGCCGCTGGGTGGGTGTGGCTGTTCCGCCAGGCACCACTAAGTCCAAGGCGCTGCGAGAACTGGCGTCTGTGAATTACCAGTGTGACCTTGACCAAATCTTCCCTTCCTGGGGGGGCCTCAGTTACCCCTCTGAAAAATGGGTGGTTTCTCAAAACAACAGAACCAACCTTGAGGGTTGATATTTTTAAATTAACTGGAAGTGCCCTGAATCCCCAACCCTTGAGCTAGATCAGAATTTTTTTAGTTTTGGCATCAATTCTTCTTCCCAGTCACCTTCCATCCCACTTCCCCAGCTTCCAAGTTTCTTCACTTCCCTTAAGGAAAAAAAACTAAATTTTCCGGTGACCGAGGAGACCCTGAATAGGAAGGCGACGTCTCCACATGCCAACCCTGCACGCTGCTCTGGCTTCTCTCCTGGAAGCACAGACTATCCTACCCCCAAACCTTTCTGTCCTGTTGTCCCAGGGCACCCCACGCACAGGTGACCTTTGGGAGTCAGGAGCACCTGTTGGTCTGCCCATTAACAGTCAGTCTAACCCCACCTCTCCCACTGCCCCCACTACTGCCAACTATCATCCTAGAAGTAGATAACAAACATCATCTCCATTTTACAAATGAGAACACTTGACATTTGCGCTTGGCCAAGGTCATATAAGAAAGTGGCAGAGCCACAACCTCAATGTCCCACCGATTCCCAGTGTTCTTGATTCCTGCCCTACTGTTGTTTCTCGCTCTGGAACCCATCTGGTGAGTTAGATTTTTTAGCTTTTGTGTGTATGTTGGGGAGTGCAGGTGTGTGTGTGGGGGAGGTTCTGTAATGGATCTGAATGCCTAGATTTGAGTCTAACACAGTGTGACCTTGGGAAATGATGATCTTTTCTCAATCTCAGTTTCATCTTCTCTCAAATAGGGATAATAATTATACCTATGGGATCGTCATGGCTCAAGACCAGCTTTGCAGCGGTCTGCCAGCCACCCAAGCAGCAGCTTCTGTAAGCTGAGTAGTAGCAGCGGTTGCCTGTCCTGCTGCCCCAACTTGTGCACATAGAGGCCGGTTCTGTAGCTGTTCCCTCTACTGCTTTCCAGTCCAGCATCTGAGTTGTCCCAGCCTGGCCCTCAAACTGTTGCGTGGGCTACTGTGGTGTCACCTCAGCAGCCCCACCTGTGAGCATCTCCAGCTGCCACTGTGAATTGTATCCTGCCCATTGCTTGCTGGTGTGCCACCATCTCCAGGCCCTCATTGAAGGGACAGCAACCTCTTGCACAATCAGCCTTTGATGGGAACTTCTGGACTCTGGACATTCTGGGTGAGACCGCTGGCCACAACTGGCCAGCAAAACTCTTTTCTTTTTCCCAATTACCTGTTAAATAATCCCTGTTGTTATTCCCAGAGCCTTAGTGATCTTGCAACTGAGTCCATGGGTCTGCGCTGTCTTTGAGCTCTAAGCACTGCTATAGCACTGTTTCGGGATTACCGGGAGGTTGTTAAGATCACAAGAGAGTAAATATTTTCTTATATCCACTTCATTTAGGAGTGGGGTAGAGTGCTTAGAGATGTGATGGGATGGGAAACTCCCAGGTTGTTGGGGCAGCTGGGGCAAGCAGGGAAGACTTCCTGGAGGAGAGAAGTTGAAGTATGAGTAGGAGAAAAACAAGTGAGGAGAGGAGGAAGGGAGGAAGACACTTACAGCAGAGGGAACAGCAAGTACCAAGGCCTGAAACTGCTTTCCTTCAAGATGTGCAACACAGGAGTGTGCAACACAGGAGAGGGGTTATGAGGATGATATAAGGGACCACAGCACACAATGCACACCCGTCTGCACATGATTCTGTAGCCACTCAAGTCCAGAGTCATCACAGACAGACACCAGCACACAGAATTACAGTGTCAAACAGGGGCCTCCCACAAGGGGTTAAGCACTGTGAAGCTATCCGCAGCTACTGCAGCATGAGTTCAATCCCCCAGCTGGCCAGAGAGCTGACCCACGTGGTGTAGCAGCTCTTCCTGTCTCACCCGCTGCTGCTCCCCGCAGCAGTGTATTTCAGTAGACCCACCCATTCTGCTCCCCACTCTATCTCTGGTGGATCCTCATCTCAGGTGCTCCCTCCACACCTCTGGCCTGTACTCCAGTTCTTACATGCATAAATAAATAAATCTTAAAAAAAAAATAGTGTCAAGCAGGCCCACACACATCTACAGAACCTCAACACCACACAGGCACAAAAAGCCCCACATCTCCCACACTCAGGAAAGCATAAATCTAGAGTAACCAGAAACACACAAAAGGCAGACTCATTCTACCCACATACACATATAGAAAGAAGTACACCCCCCAACACACACACAGATTCACAGAATGATCTCACAAAGACTCATACGCACAGAATGACATCACCAGACACATGTTACATAGACTCATGCAGAGGACACATATACAATCACAAAGTGACATGGACACCCACCCAATCACCCGTGCACCCACACCCCTTTGAAGGGACCCCACAGATCAGTCAGCACACACAATTCTGGTGCCTACCGAGGCGAGGTCTTTATGGTGTACAGATTAGTGAGTTTCAGAGTCAATGTGGCTGGTCTGCCCTCCCCCCCTCAGCTCAGTACAGTTCCCTCCATAGAGGGCCCAGGTCACCCCTAAAAGAGGGGATCCCTTCTCCCCCCATAGCACCAATCTGGACAGGCCATACCCTGACAAATCAGTGAGAAATGCCTTCCAAAAAGGGGGGAGGTAGTCTGAGGGAAGAAGCCTTCCTGTGGGAGACCAAGAACAGCACCATCATAGAAGGGGCACCAGGAGTTCAGAGGGACACAGCAGTGGCGGGGGTGGCCTGGGGTGGAGAGAACTGATGAGCCCCGGCCGCTCTCCCCACTCTGTGATAGGCGGACTGGGCTGTGCGTGTGCCTGTGCAGCTAGGGCTATCTCCTGCATTGTGAGGGAGCCCAGATCCTTCAGATACCTGGGTAAAGTTTAGGGAGTGGAGGTGGTTTTAGGACAGCTATTTTAAAGGGGAGAGACTGAGAATGGCTTGTACTTGAAGTCCATGAGTAGAGGGATGGGGCGGGGGTGGGGGGTAAGGACAAGATTGGGAAGATTTAAGACAGAGACTAGGAACTGGAGCAAGTTGAGCAGGTGGGAAACCCAGAGGGTGGGGGGTCTGGAATCAGGAATCAGAGGTCGCAAGAGTCAGAATCAGAGGAAATGCAAGGTGAGATCCCTATTCTGGAATCATAAGTATTTGGATTTGAACCCAATGTAGTTGGAGGCTGTGAGGTCTAGAACCAAAGGAATTTATACAGTAAGGACAGGAATTAGAAACAGTCTGAAGACGGAGTTCTAGAACCAGTGGGATTTGGTTCCAGAACTAGAACCAAAATTCTAGTCCTAAGGCCTAGAATCAGAAGTTGGGAGTTCTAAGCCCTACAACCAGAGAAGCTCATAACACGAGGGCTATAATCAGATGAAGTTTGGAGACTGAGTTCTAAACCTAGGGTATTTAGGTATCTGGAATGAGGGGGGAGTGGAGATTGTGCAGTCTAGAACCAAGGGAATTTGTAGAATGAGGTATGGAATCTGAAAGTAGCTTTTAGGGAGATTATCAGATGTGTAATCAGTGGGCCCCAGAAACTGTAAAGTCTAGAACGTGTGTAGTCTAGAACAAGTGAGTAAAGATCATAAAGTCTCAGAAAAGAAAAAGAGCTGGAGTATGGAATCTAGTTCTGGAAGTACTGGTTTTAAGTGGAAGACATAAGCTCATTTTACTTCCTTTTGACGCGAAAAACAAGTCGAAGCTTGTGAAAAGCTTGAGAGTGAAAAGAAATGAGTTGGACATCATGATTTTAGAACAATAATGGTTTAGTAATTAGGAAGTCTGGATTTGGAACTGAATGTGTTAGGGGTGAGGAAAACTAAAACCAATGGAAAGATTAGCATTTTATGGTCCAGAATCAGAGGGAATCACTGGTTGAAAGCGCTGGAATCAGCAGGAGTTGGAGAATGTAGCATGTGGAACAAGGGAGTTTACAGGGAGGGGTCTAGAACCAGAGGAAGTCAGGGCATGAGTTCTAGAACCAAAGGACTCTGGTGGTCAAAGGCTCTGGAGCCAGAGGGAGTTGGAGGTGGTGAGGTTTGGAAGTAAGCACCGTTGGAGCCTGAAGTATGAAAACAACTGGAGGTAGTGAGGTCCAGAATGAAGGAGCTGGCGGTGATGAGATCTGGAATCACTTGGAGGATGCGAGGTATAAACCAGACCACATTGGAGGTTGTGCCATCTAGAACCAGAGAAGGCTGGGGGTTGCACAGTCTAGAACCACAGGAAGTTCAGGGGTCGTGTGGTTTGGAAGCAGAGGAAGCGGAGGCTATACCTGAAATAGGAAGACCCTGAATAAGAAGGCCCCAGACAGTGAGGCTGGGGGCGGCAGATGTCCAGAGCAGAGTGGGAAGGAAGAGCCGGGCGGCACAAGTCGCCAGGCATGAAATCTGCCTTCAGGGCCCCCCATGACACCTGAAGAAAGGGGAGGATCAGAGTCCCACATTCTTAGGGTCCCTGGGCAACTCGTAGCCATTAAAAACATCATGAGAACAACAACAAAATAAAATAAAAATAATACTAAAAGAAAGGTGGCTAGAAAGAAATGTGATTGTGGTTATCGATACACCCCAGAGCCCAGAGACATAGATCTGAACCCCAACCTCCCGCACCCCCAATTTATCAAAAATAAAGCCAAGAGAGCTGGAGAGAGGGACGAGGTAACCAGTATCAAGAACCCCAAGGGAAGTCCTGAGAGAAGGAGGGGGAGGGGTCAGGGACCCCCCTCCCGAGGTCACTGAGCTGAGGCCACCCCAAGAGCCCCCAAATGGGGGTGACCAGAAGGGTGGGGACTGAGGTATACCCGAGGCGGGTGGGGGCCACTGCAAGGAGAGAGGGGGGCCTTCTCCCGGCACCCCATCCTGTGCGCTGGCTGCCGGCTTGGAGTGTGGTTGAGGTCCTTTTCCGGGGCGGGAGGGGGGAGGTGGGAAGGGGGGCCGGCTCAGTTGGTCTGGGCCAAGCCTGCCGCTGGCTGGAAGTGGCTCCTGGGCTGGGGAGCGTCGTCACCCCGATACAGAGAGAGCAGCGAGGAGCCCAGGCCTGTGGGGAAGAGGGCATGTAAACCAGGGGGCAACCACCGGCCCTACCCACCTGCCTCTCCTGCCAGTGAAGAGCTTGGCTGATGCGGGAGGTGTGCCTGGACCCAAAGAACAGTGAATTCCAGGGTGTTTGAGGCAGTGATAAGCCGGAGGGAGCCAGACCTGGCTCTTCACTTGCTGTGTGACCTGAGGAGCTGACTGCCCGTCTCTGTGCCTCAGGTCACCGCCTCCGTAAAATGGGATAATAACAGTACCTGCCTCCCGGGGCTGTGGTGAGGAGTGAGTGAGCGAATCCAGATAAAGTACTTTGAACAAGAAGGAGCCCTGGGGCCTCCTTGATGGCGTAAGCGGTTAAGCACCGCACTATGAAGCCATTGCAGCACGAGTTCGATCCCCGGGCAGGGAGCTACCCACATGGCGCAGCAGACCTCTCCTGTCTCCCCGCTGTTCCCCTCAGCAGTGTGTTTCAGTCTGTCTGTTCTGCTCCCCACTCTGTCTCTGGTGAATCCTCTCACTCCCCCCACCTCTGGCCTGCACCCCAGTTCTTCTATGCATAAATAAATCTTTAAAAAAAAAAAAGGAGGAGGAGTCATCTCGGGGAGTGCTTAGTACGTGAGCAGTGGTTGGCTGGCAGGCAGGTTGGCTCTGCCCACCTCATTTATGCGAGTCCTGCATTCAAAAGATATTTACTGAGCACCTACTGTGTGCCAGGCACCAGGGACTCAGCCATGAACAGGATGGAAGAACCTCCCTGCCCTTGGGGCGCCCTCCACCCAGTGAGGGGCGGTCTATGAGGTCCTGGATAGGCAGGTTTCCCACAAGGCTGGGCACCCAGCACAGCTGTTGGCTCTTCTTTTACAAAGGTGTCCCGAGCGCCCCCCGGGGCTAGGTCACTGCCCAGCCCGCACTCAGGCGAGACGGCACCGTGACCAAGACAGGCCTAGCCGTACCCTCCATGGGCTGAGACTGTAAAAAGCGAGCTGATAAACATCACCTCTGGAAAGATGGGTGGGGGTGAGTGGTATGAGCCTGGAGTTCTAGAAATCAGGGAACCCTGTGCAATCCGCATGAGCCATTATAATGGCCCCCTATTGACAGGAAGGGATAAGGAGGCAACTGGGGCTCCAGAAGCAGACAGGATTACTTCTCAAAGCCACACAGGCTGGGAATGACCCAGGGAGGACACACCCATCTGGTCAGGCCGCAAAGTGTAACAGGCCTCAGGGGGCCTAGGTAAGGCCTGCGCTCCACCTCTACCCCCAGCAGATTTGCAAAGCCCCTGCCTCCTTCAGCGGCTCCCACCTCCTGCACCTGGGAGAAGGGATGGGCTGCCCAGTTCCAGCTTCCAGTTCCAGGGTGGGGGACACTGACAGCCCTCCAGCACCTTCAGGATCACCCCATCTCTCAACAATCTGGAGCACCTCCCCCAGAGACGCATGGTCTCTAAATACCCAGATCCCTACTTACCCAAGGGCTCATTCAGTCCCAGGAGGTGGGTGCTGGGGTCCTGCTGGTTCCCCGGGGCTGTGAGAAGGAAACTCTGTGGGAGAGACCAGGCCACCACCATCACCATCACCCAAGGAGGCAGGGTTGTGCAGTGGTTAGGGGCACTGTTGGGATTCAGCGGCTACTTATAGGCTGTGTAACTCCACCTCTAACCCCAGCAGATGTCAGTCACTGGCCCAACATCCTCCACCTCTCCCCTTCCTCTGTGCCCTGGGAGGTCGACCCATGAGTGTGGGTGTCATCAGCACCCAAACTCCATGTGCTCCTTTTGGGTTCAGATAACGGGAGATACTGGCAGGCAGGAGGAGGAATAGGTGGGGTGTTTGATCTTCTGGCTGCTTCCCTGCCGGGTCATCCTGAATTGGCTGTGTCCCTCTGTGGAAGGCTCCAGTACTTCCAAGGTGGACCCTACTCTCTCCAGGATCCCTCGAACACTGCTGCCCTTGGTCCCCAGGCCCTACAGCTGGCCCCAGGGCACTACACCAACCCTGGTATTGCCCAGGGTTGCCTGGTTTTGCCGACAGTCTTGTCATCAACATCCTCAACAACCCACCTGAGTGTGCTACTTCCTACCTGGATTCTGTCTGATGCAATTGCTTCCCCTCTTATGTATAAATGTGGATACTTGATAATAATTCAAGAGTGTTTGTGGGAATAAGTGAGTCATGCAAGGCCTGTCATGTGCTCAGTCCCTGGCACGTGGTGGGCATTTAATATCAGCTGTTGGTATGGACCATGCTTGTTGTGTTCAAACAGCCCTGCTGGGAGGAGGGAGGAGCCAGGGGTGGCTTCTGTGGGCAATAGGGAACCATGGAACGTCGTGGAAGGAGGCTGTCGTCGAAGTGACACAGTCTGGGCTGGCTTTGAGAAAAGGCAGTCTGGCTGCTGCTGTGCAGGGGTGAGACTGGAGGTGGAGAGAGGGCAGGGGTGAGGAGGGGGTAGTTTGCTATGGCTTGGTTTGGTTTGACACTACCATTTACTGACAGCCTGCTGAGGATTAGCCAAGGGTGCAGTTTCATTTGCATCTCCTGGCAGTTCTGTGAGATGAGTGTTCAAAGAGTTTCCTCTGAAGAGAAAACTGAGGCTCTTTAGTCTATGTGAATAATCCAAGGCCAAGACCAGTTCCAGGTTTGGGGGAGGCCCAACGGGAGTAGAGAAGCTTCCTATAGATACTAAGTCTGTCGCTGTCATTTCTCCCTCTGTCCAGCTTGATTTTCTTCTTAGCATTTACCACCAATTTGCATGTATTTACTTGCAAAACCCTTCCATCCCCACTTCCCAAACTAGCAGATCATGTTCCTAACCTCAGCTAGATTGCTGGACCTTCAGCCAGGCCCCCTCCCTTTCTGATGTTCCCATCCGCAAGACAGGTTTAAGCCTGCTACATTCTGAGGTCCAGAGAATCCCATGAAGCCCCACTCACATACCAGGGTGAGGGGAGGCAGCAGGAAGTTTTCGGGACCTGGACTTGGACACCGTTTGGGGGGTCTCACGCCCAGCACGCCCTCGGCCTCGTCCTCTGAGCTCTGGACCAGGGATCTGGAGGACAACAGGCAAGAATCTCAGAACACAGTGTGTGCACCAGTGTGAGCAGTGATGAACATTCATTCACTCCCCAAACACCTTTACTCATATACTCACCAGTCCATACATACGCCCACCAACCCTGCCTCCTACTCATCCATCCAAGAACCACCCATCCACCCATACAACTTGCATCCATATATCCTTCCCACCTGTCTATCCACGAGTCCAGTCAACATCCATCATCCATCCTCCATCACCTATCCATCCATGCATGCATCCATCCATCCAACCTCCATCCACCCATCTGTCTACCCATCCTTCCATCCATTCATCCATCCATCCATCTATCCATTCTCCATCCATCCATCCACCCATCCATCCATCCAACCTCCATCTACCCATCTATCTACCCATCCTTCCATCCATCCTCCATCCACCCATCCATTTATCCACCCATCATCCATCCACCCATCATCCATCTATGCACATTCCATCATCCATCTATGCACATTCCATGATGGATGCAGCCATCATGCATCCATCCATCCACCTAGCCTCCCACTTACCACTCATCCATCTACTCCATCTGTCCTTCCATTTATCTGTTCATCTACCTATCCTTGCATTCATCCACCTATCTATCTACCCTCCTACTCACCATCTATCCATCCACCTACCATATTCATAAACTTTCTCCCTCCTTCATTTAATAAGGCCCTTTTAGGCACCCACTGTATATCTGGCACCCAGCTGGGAGCCCTGGGAAATATTGAGCTGTGTCCATAAAAGCCTCATAAGGATAATAAAGAGATCAACCTATAGCCTAAATGGGCTCATACTTGTAACTTGGAGAGCAAAAGCGTGAGCACTAGTAATCTAACATCTTTGGGAATGAGACACAAACCCTCCGAAAAAGCGTGTCTGTACGTGTGTGAAAATTTCCTCAGGAAAGCGTCCCCAACTCCCAAGGCTTCTCAAAGGTGTGATGAAACTTAGCTCTGGACAGTCTCTCTGGCACCGTGGCAGTGTCCTCTTAATGATGACACGAAGGTATTGTTAGGGGGAAAGGATGTTCTGAGCAGGTGAGAACCCACAGTGAGGCAACCAGTTTTATATCGGGGTTGCTCTGTAACATTATCACCTGGCCAGACGGAAATATGTTCCAAAGGAAGAGGCCAGGTCGGCTGGTGGGATTTGAGTAAACAGAACCGTGGTGGCTACTCTGGAAGCGGGGCACAGCCTCTGCAAAGACACAGAGTTTGGGGTAAACATGACCCATGCTGGGGACCCCCTAGGATCTGGCTGGGGGAGGGATCAGGCTAGGAGGAGTGATGGGGTGTGAGGCTGAAGCGGAAGGCGGGACTTCCTCTCCACCCTCTGTATCCCCTTCTACTGCAGCTCACCTCTTCCGAGCCCCAGTCATGGGGGAGGTCGCTGAGGGGTCCACTTTGGAAGGGCTGGAGCAGCTCAGCCGGGGGTCACTTCCCCAGCGGGGCAGCAGGGAAGGCTCAGGGGTTGGGGGCGACAGGCCATGGAAGCTCCGAGCGCGGGGCCGGGGAACGGTCCCCGGAGGTCTGTGGTAGGCCCGGGGGAGCTGCTCGCTGGAGTTGAGCTGGAAGTCATCATCCATGGAGATGTAGGGGGCCAGCATCTCCAGATCCAGAGCGTCGGCGTCCTGCAGAGGGCAGGAGGGAGTTAAGAGCATGGGCTTAGGGCAGGCCTGGCTCCAATCGCATCTGAGTTGTGTGCCTGAGGTCAAGAGTCTGAACTTCAGTTTCCTCCTAAGGCTGGGTATAAGGACCCTGTGGTAGCCACCCCACAAGATCTTGGTGTGAATATTTGTTGGTGTTCACCCCTGAGTGTGGCCCCTACTACAGTGACAAGGGCTGAACTGGTAACAGTAGGTTATCAGTTGATAACGAGGAGATGATAGTACGTGACTTCCAACACGAGGTCCTAAAGACACTGTGGCTTCTGTTTTCCTGGTACTCTCTTGGACCACATACTCCGGGGAAGCCATGCCAACAGGGGGAGAAGCCAAAGGAAGACGCGTTAAACATGAAGGAACTGGGACTTGACAGTTTAGAAAATTCTCAGGCTCTTTGTGTAGCAAAGAATTAACTTAACCCCAAAAAGAAGTTTAATCTTTGTCCTGGCTCCTGGGAGGTCACATCTGGACCCTTGGAATTTCCCGATTGATAGCTAGCTTAGGGTTGGTCTATGTGACCAGTACAACAAGGAGAAGTGATGTTATGTCGCTCCTAACATTAGGTTATAAAACACTGTATATTTTCTCTCGGGCTCACTCCCTCTGTTTCCTGGTTTCTAGGATTACTTGTCTTGGAGAGAGTCAGCTGCCATGTTGTAGGGACACTAAGTAGAGGCCCGCATGATGAGGAACTGAACCCTCCAGCCAAAGCCAGTGAGGGACTGAGGCCTGCTAACACATGCATGAGTTTGAAGGTCAATCTGCTAGCACCAGGTGACTATATCCCTGACTGAGAACTAGACTTAGTCTTATGAGAGACCCTGAGCTAAGCCATTCCTAGATTCCTGAATCTCAGAAGCTGTGTGATCTAATATGTGAATTTTGGGGTAATCTGTTACACAAGACAGATGACTGCTGCATCATCTGACTGCCACCTCTCTGATCTGTCTCCTCAATCATCCAAGCATCATCCATCCTTCCGTCATTCAATGAACCAATGGTCTATCTAACCATCCAGACATCCACCATCCATCTATGCATCCATTTAAACACTGCCCATCCATCTACCCACCTAATAAATACAGTGGTCTGTGTGTCCATCCATCCACCTGTCCATCCATCCATCCAAATATCCATTGAAACATTGTCCATCCACCTAATCACCCACCCACTCATCCCCTTAACTACCCCAACATCCTTCTCTGAAGTGCAAGCATACTAGCCCCCAGAGCACAGAGGTGAAAACTGGGCTTTCCAAGCAACCGGTACCTGAGCTATATCTAGATCTGTCTCCACTGCCTTGAGGTCTTTCCCGGAAGCAAAGAGTCTGTGTGCGTTCTCCATGTCCACAAGTAGCTCATCAGGGAGATCTGCCTGTGGGGACAGAGTAGAGGCTTAAAGAGCCTAGGTGATGTCAACAGTAGGGCAGCCTGGACATTTGAGTTCAGGGGTAGAAGGAAGGGTCAAATGTCAGATCGCTGGGACAGCAAGGTCTGAACCTATGATGTTCCAAAAGCAAAGTGCCTGGCAATAGGTTGACAGGGCAAATATTGAAGATTCAAAAGACTGGAGCCTAACGCCAAGGATTCAGGGCCCCTGGGGTTAAAGTTCTTAGAATCTGGAATGGGGAGGAAGCAATGGGAGTCCAGCTGCCCTGGGGCTAAAGGGTGAGGTCAAAGGTCACACTCTTTCTCTGGGGGAGAGAAGATATTTTGGAAGGACAGAGGGTAGGATGAGTATAGTCAACCCTGGGTACTTTGAACCCTCATTCAAAGGTCAGACTATCTGTACTCTGGGCAAAAACGGCCATTACTTCGGTCTGCTGAACACCTACTAGGTGCCAGGTCCTACTAAGTGCTTCGATCTTCATCGAACCCTCGCAATAACCAATGAGGTGGCTACTTACAGGTCCTAATTTACAGGTGAAGAAATTAAGATGCCCCTTTGTCCAGATTAAATCAGCAGGTAAGTGACAGGCTTTGAATCCAGGAGATCAAAGTTAAGAGTGTGGGCGTCACAAGCGAAGGCACCCATGCCAGTCCCCAACACCTCAGATTTTGGTCCACGTTAACAGCCCAAGAATTTAGAACCCAGAGACCGGCTATCATTCCGAACTTCCCATACAGATGGGGAAACTGAGGCCGACAACAACAAGGTTCGAGGTAAAGACTAAAGCAGCCTGGCTCCTTAGGACTCAAATGGGAAGGGCCACTTACCGGAAGAGGACTTTGGGGGCGTCGTGCAGCTGGGGGTGCACTGGGGGTGGCAGCTACTGAAGTCCCGTCCAGGATGGGTGCCAGGAGGCGACGGAGGTCGGGGCTACAGAAGCGGCGGGGGTCAGCGGCCAGAGTGGCCTCGCTCAGGGCAGGGGGGTGCAGGAAGGCCAGTATCCGGGGACTGGAGCCATCTATAAGGCACATGGAAACGGGGAGGACACTGGGGGGTCATACAGGGCTGAGGGGCAGCACCCTCCATGCCACCTCCAGGGAGCAGAGTCGACGTCTTCCATCATCAACCAGGGTGAACCCCGTTCACAGTGTTGGGCACGGGATCCCAGAGCACCCCAGCTGGGCCAGGAGCCAACCCTTCCATCGCCCAATTGTGGCCAGGCCCCGGACTGTGTCGGGAGGGGCCAGGGTGGGGCGGGGCACAGAGGGGGCTGTGGACTGTAGCCACTGTCAGATGGTGGGGAAATGTCTGAATATTTAAAATTCATCTGGCTGGACTAGGGCACTTGACTGACCCGACTGTCCAGTGACACAGAACAGCATTTGGGCACTCAGCTCAGGGGCTGGCATATCAGGAGGCCGTGGGGCGGTACTAAGGTCCCAGGAGATCAAGTCATGGCCCAGTGCCAGTCAGTTCTGAGCCAGAGAAGGAGAGGATACAGGTGATCCCCCCACCACATTCAGGAGCATGGGCGGTCAGCAACAGCTTGGAGGAGGTGAGGCCTTGAAGAACAGACGGGGAGGGAAGCTCAACCAGGACTGGAGAAGCAGGAGGTGGAAGAGGAAGAGGCACAAAAGAGCCAGATCAGGGAAGCCAAAGCAAGAGCAGAGAACAAGCAGGAGGGTGAGCGTGATGGGGAGCCATGGCAGAATTTAGAATTGAGAGCCATGAGACTGAGTGAACATCCCAGGGGCTCAGGAGAAGAGGGAGGTCGGAAGAGAGAAGAGCATTCTGGGCAGAGAACACTGAATGTGCAAAGGCCCTGAGGCACAAGAGAGCCTGGCACGTCCCAGAGCACTAAGGAAGCTGGTGCAATTCCGGCAATGGGTAAGAAAAGAGGGGGGGCAGGAGTCAGGTCACACAGGGCTTGGTGAGCCACCTTACAGCACGTGGGCATTCTCCCAAGCATCTTGGGGACACAACCCCTCCCACCCCAGCCCTGCCCCATACCGAGGCTCTCCCCAGGATTAGGGGCGTCCTTCTGAGAGGGGGCGCCCCGCTGAACGGGTCTGCGAGAGTGTCGCTCCGTTTGCTCCAGGGACAGCACCACTCCAGTCTCTTCCACCCGGCTGGGGTACAGGGCAGAAAGGGGAGTGGGAGTCAGGGAGGGCCCGTGGCCCCAGCCCCCTCAGATGATGCCCTCTCATAGAAGCCCCCTCGTCCAGGAGCCCGAGGGCACTCTGCAGAAAATAATTTGCCACATCTACTTTTTTTCTTTTAAGGATTTCACTGTTGTTGAATGCTTTTTATTATAATAGGATTTAAAAGAGAGTTAAGTTTGTCTTCCAAGCTCCCTCTGAAAGACAAAAAAAAAAAAGAGTTGGCATTTAGCATAGCCTGGTAGAGAGAGGAGAGCCTGAGGAGCTGTGGGGGAGCGTATTAAGGGGCACAGAGAGAGAGTGGAAGGCATAAGAACCAAATATTCTCCTTCACTTATAAACGCATCTTTGTACATGTATCGATGAAGAATCTGTATTGAACATACTCTTTTGTTACCAAGTATGAGGATTTCATAGGAATAGATTTTGACGAATAAGAATTTATTTATGAAGCTTCTATTCATAGACATTTTTCATATTCAAGGGAACGGATTTATAAATACATCCTTATGTTCCCCATGCCTCCCCTCCTCCTAGTCTCTAGCCAAATGTTCCCTTAGAAAACTGGCTTTTGGAGAATTGGTCTGGGGCTGCAGACCTGGCCCTGATTTTGCATCTTATTTGCATAACATTGTCCTGGAAAGACTATGGGCTTTTCCCACCAGCACTTTAAGAAGCTGCAGAGCTTTAAGAAGCCACCCTCAACAAATCCCTCCTGGGCTGGAACAACTCGATTTAGGTTGGACCAAAGCCACTTCATCCCCTTTGAAACACACAAACATACAGAGTTGTGTACATGCGCGCGCGCACACACACAGAGCACACACACAGAGCACAAACACGATCGCTCATACACTCATGTGCACTGAATATGCAGACTGACAGGCATACTCCACACAGTCCCCTGCATATGCTCACAAGTGCACACACAGCACGTGGAGTTCACACCTTCCTTCATTCCACAAGCCTTTCCTACATATCAGGACCACTTAGTGGGCTTTGCAGCCAGTGGCCTGGGTTCAAATCCCAGCTCAGCCACTTCGGCACTGTGTGACTTGAACACATAGCTAAACCTCTCTGGGCCTCATTTCAGAGAGGATGGTAATATCACGTCCTCTGCAGGTTGCCATGAAGCTTCAATGAGTTAATGTATGTCAAACCCACAGAACTGGGCCTGGCAGGGAAGTGAGCTCTGTGTACTGATTAGCCATTAGTGTTTATGGAGCAACTACTGCATGCCAGGCACTGTTCTGGGTGCTAGAGATTGAGCAGCGAACAAGGCAGACAAACCTCCCTGCCCTTAAGTAGTTTCCACACTAGTGGGAAAAGAGAGAGCTTAAATAGGATATATTATTCCTATGTTAAGTGTACCCACCTAACCACAAAATGTATTATTCAGTGAGTCCTCATTTACTTGGAAACTGTGACTTTAAGCAAAACGACATAGAAGGAAACCAGGTCCTCGAAATGTCATTTCATTCAATGACAGCTGAAAATTTATCACCAGCATTATAATGAAACGAAATTATTCAAGGTCCTGCTGTCTTTCTACTACATGAAGCGCCTGAGACGTGGCTAGTTGGCATGGAGGTGAGTGCATACCAGATGTTAAAAGCTGAATATGAAAAAGAATGTAAAATAGCTCATTAATAATTCTAAAATATTGAAATGACATTTTTGGATGTCCTGGGGTTATATTATGTATATGTATGTACAAATGTGTAGCAATATGAAAACTCATTTCATCTGTTTCTTTTGACCCTGCTAATGTGACTACTGGAAAATTGAAAAAATTTCAATTTCATATGAATTGAAATTGAAAATCACATGCAGCTGATATCACACCTCTGTACGTCAGTCAGTGTGGCGTTAGAGAGTGAGAAATACTAGGGGAAAGAAAAGTAAAGCACAGAATGAGGTTGGGAAATCAGGGAAAGCCTGACTGAACACGTAAGTAATTACAAATGGTTTTACCTGTTCTGGAGCAAAAGGACACCAGGAGAGAAACTGAGGAGAGTCCTGATCTCCTGTGGGGGCTCAGGACAAGGGGAGGATGAATGGACATGATTCAGGAGAAGAGGGAAGGGGAAAGAGAGAAGAGCATCCTGCATGTGCAAAGACCCTGTGGTTTGGAGCGAGAGGGGAGGGAGGCAAAATCAGGTCACACAGGGCCTGGTGAGTCAGGGTAAGACACACAAGGCCTTTCTCCTAAGAATGCTGGGAAACTACCTAAGGTGCTCTGAGAATTGGAGAAAAAGGAATGGATTAGTATTTTGGAAGCTGCCCCATCCTCTGCTTTTGTGTGATTGGTGGCAACCTCAGATCAGTTAGAAGGGGAATACTGAGGGCAGAGATGGTGGGGGCTAGGCAGACAGAGAAATGGGGAACAAATCCATGGTATTTTCCAGAGCCAGAGAGAGTTAATGGGGATGGGAAGGAGGCAGAAGGAAGTAAAAGGACTGAGGAGAGATTCCCAGTCTTCTCGCCTTGGCAAATGGTAAGATAAGGCATGATGTTATTTGGTAATTATCAGTGTAGCCTCCAGACCACCCTTGGGTCAAATCCCAGCTATGCCACTTACAATGGCTGTGTGATTTTGGACAAGTGACTCCCCCAACTCTGGTCCTCAGTTTTCTCTCCTAAAAAGAGGATCAAAATACAAGACCCTCATAGGTTTTTTGTCAGTCCAAACCCAGGGCCTGGCATATTGGAAGTGTCCCATGTGAGTGTGTTTCATGAAGTTTTTATGCAGCAAATCTTTACTGTGATGAAGGGAGATTTTGGTGGGAAGAGGACAGAGGACGGGTAGATTCCACAAAATATAAGCACCTGTGTGCACAGCTGTACACCACACACGTGTACCCCAAACTGGGGAGGCTTCACACACACGCCTCATCTCACTGCCGGTAAGCGAGCTCCTATCCATTCCTCACCATTGTCTGCTAACAAAATGGGACACTCCAAGGTCTCCTGCCCACCTACGACTGTGCAGGGGCCTCTCCTTTCTCCTTTTCCTAATAAACCTGTCTTTTTAAATGTAAAAATATATAAAAATAAATAAATAACATTCCAGCCCTGCTTTGCTTAGTGTACAAAAAGATAGACATTGAAATCCTGGCCATTGAAAGAGCAATTTTTAGAATGGAAAGGAATTTCTAGAAGAGATAGGGGTAGGTCCTCGCTCCTCTGCAGTGACAATGGAGAGATGTCTTTCCATGGCTACAAGTCATTCAAAGATTCTGATTTGTAATGAGAACATGCCAATGATGACTGGCCTTGTTTTGGGGTGCAATTTGGAGACTTGTATGAATACTCCCTCCTATCACCGACTTCTGTGTTCTAATATAATCTGTCCTTGATCTAAAAGATCTGGGAAAACTCCCAAGACTTGAGAAATTGATGGCATGTTCTGGAAGGCAATCTTCAAAAAAAAGCTGTGATTTTTCTCTAACTTGTGGGGGAATGGCTGGCCTTGTCACAACGCTGCCACAGTGAAACACTTCTAAGATTCATGACAGACAGGGTGGGGGGTGGGTTATGCTCTACCACTGCACATCCATTCGAATGTTTAAAATTAAACAAGAGAGACAACACAAGAGGCTGGTGGGAAACTAGAACCCTCCTACGAGGCTGGTGGCAATGAGAAATGGTATAATCACTGTGGAAAACAGTTTGGGGGGGTTCTTACGTACTTAAATCTACTCAGACCACAGGCTGCATCCATTGCACTGCTAGAAATGAATGAAAACATCATCTCACAAAATCCTGTAGGAAGATATTTACAGTAGGTTTTTTTCATCATCACCCTCAATGAGCAAACAGCCTAATAGCCTCCAACTGGTAAATGGATAAACAGAGTGGTCCGTCCATATTCATTACTCACATTAAAAAAGAACTAGCCATACACCCAACATAGATGACATTTAAATACATTATGCTAAGTGATAAGAAGCCAGACTCAACCGCATGGTTCCAAGAACATGGCATTTTGAGAAAGGCAACGATCTAGGGTGAAAGAACAGATCACTGGGTGCTGGGGACGAGGTGAGGTTCACTAAGAGGATTTGGGGGGGGTAATAAAAATATATATGATTCTATGGCTTAACTGGGATGGCAGAGACAGCGTTCCATGCATTTGTCAAAACTCCTGGAACTGTACACCCAGACGGGCGCATCTTCTCTATGTAAATGCTCCCTCTATTTTTAAAATGTACAAAATCCCTCATGAGTCGTTACGTTTCTTATTTTAACTTGAATGCAGCGTCCTCTTTATTTAAACGAGCAGCAGGAACCCCGTGTATGTTCACGTGCACACGCAAGCACACGTGCGTGCCTCAGCGGCCACGCGCGTCCCCCTGCGGTCCGCGTGCGCGCTCCCTCACGCTCGCGTGCACGTGCGCCGGCAGAAGCGCATGCGCACGCACAGGCGCAGCCCGCACGCGCCTGCGCAGACGACGCGCCCACACAGGCCCCAGCCTCCCGCGTACCTGATGAGGTAGTGGACGCAGACGATGCTCTCCGACTGGGGGCCCCGGCCCCCTGACACCACCGTGGCCTGGGTCTGGGTCCACAGGTAGCCACCACTCCGAGCCAGGAAGCGATACTGCCCTGTCACTGCCTGGCCCTTGCTCAACACTGGGAGCGGGGGGAATGGGAGGGGTCAGAGCCACCCAAGGGACCTCTGGGAAGAGGGGGGTCCTGGGGGCAGGGGACAGGGTAAGGAGGAGACAGGGAAGGAAGGTTCCTTGGGGTTGGGGAGCAGGGAGCCGGTGTTGAAGTGGAGTGGAGTGGAGTGGGGGAGACTCCCAGTCTGTGAGAACGTTATAGGAGCCCCACAGCTGACGCATGCTCCCTGGGGCGAGGCTTGCCCTCCCGACGACCGCCCCCCCCCAAAAAAACCAGGAAGCTGGGAGAGGGGCTGGTGTCAAGAGGGGCGAAGGCTCCCTAGGGTGCGAGGAGCTGTGGGGGTAATTCCAGGGGCTGGAGGCTCCCTGGGATGTGAGGGATTGAGGAGGCTGGTGTCAAGAAGGGAGACTTCCTGAGCAGCTGGCTTTGGGGTGCGGGAAGGCTCCCTGAGGTGCAGGGAGCTGGTGTTGGGCAGTCACGGAGCGGGGGCACCAGGCCTCGGGAACCTAAAACTTACAGGTGTGGATGCTCTGGCCCACTGCGTCCGAGTCCAGCGCATGGATGTACTCATAGGCCGAACAGCCGATCAGGTCCTCGGGGCTGTAGCCGGCGACCTCCGCGATCCTGGGGCGGGTGTGATGAGGTCCAGTCAGTTCAACTGGCTGAGGTGCAAGGAGGGCACGGGAAGTGCGGACGGGGGACACCGGGAGGCAGATAGTCAAGAGAGAGGGTTGTGACATGGAAAAAGGGACCGAGTAAGAAATAAGAAAAGCGGGGTGTAGGCTGAACAGTAGCCCCGGAAATGTGAGTAAGCTACTTTACGTGAACACATTGTAGCTGTGATTCAGCTGACGATCTTGAGATGTGGGGATGATCTTAGATTATCTGGGTGCACCACACTGTCGCCCCCAGGGGTCCTCTGAGAGGAGGCAGATGAGAGAGAGGACAGAAGAGGTGTTGATGGAGGAGTGGGTGGAGCCACGGAGCCAAGGACTGTCCCAAGCCTCCAGAAACTTCTAAAGCCAGGAAGTGGATTCTTCCCTGGAGCCTCTAGAAGGCACCTAGCCCTTGATTTGGGCCCCCAAAGCCTCATTTCAGACCTCTGGCCTTCAGTACCCTGAGGTGGTGGATTTGTGTTGTCTGAGGCACAGCAACAATGGAAACCTCAGCCACACCACCTAACAGCATTTTGTTCAACAACTGAGGGCACCGAGGATGGTGCACACCAAGGCCCCATGGCCCAGTGACGTCACTGTCCTGATGTCATAGCATCCCATGTGGCCTCAGACATTTTGAGTTTAACCACTGCCTCTGAATGACATCACTTCCCTCAGCTTGTTTAATCTCATGCTGTTCTGCCCTCCTGGCCCGGGTGCCCATAACTCACTGCACTTGTACGATGACAGATTCCCCAAATCAGGGGTTTCTCAGCATTTCCCCCTTATTAAGTGACACGTGACTGTAATAGAAGGGGAGAAGAGACCGGAAATGGAAAGGGCAAAGGAAAGCAAGAAAAAAAAAAGAACAGGAAAGAAAGAGAAGAAGAGAAAAAGGAAGTAAAGATATTTTTTTTTTTAATTTACACTTCTATAGGGCTCTGTACCAAGCAACTCACAGAGGTCTCAGGATAAGCAATCTGAGTGGATTCTCGTACCATTACACAGGACGGATGTGGAAACTGGCACAGAAAGAGGCAGTCACCTGGCCAAGGACACACAGCAGGAATGAAAACCCAGAGTTGCCATTCCTAAGCACAACTCCAGGGCGAGGAAAGAGGGACGACATGGAAATATGAAAGGAGGGAGGAAAGAAGAGAAAGAAGAACAGAGAGAAGAAAGAAAAATGAAGGCTGGAAAGAGAATGAGTAACAATTATTGAGGGCTTCCTAGCTGTTGGGCCTGTTCTAACGCTTTAAAAGAATTGCTGGGGCTAAGAAAAGTAAACAGGAAAAGACTAAGGAATTAAAGATAACCTGACCCATGGAAAACTCAGAAAATGGCAGATCCACAGAAGAAGAGAGATGGAATTAGAGAGACACAAACAGAGCAGAGAGAATGAGGTGGGCAGGCGGGAAGAGGGGCACGGACCGGAGATAGCTTGCTCCTGCCCACCTCTCATCGCAGTAGGTGAACTTCATGTCCAGGCTGTGGCGGCTGAGGAAGGACCCCCGGCCCAGCGGGGGCTCCAGGCTGCCAGGGTGGGGGATGGCTTCACAGATGAGCACCAGGCACTGCAGGGGGGGTTCCAAGTTGGGGCTCCCGGCAGGGGAAGTCTGTGCAGGGGGCTTATAGACCCTCATGTGTCCAGAACAGTGTAGCACCTGGGGGTGGGGGCAGCGAGGTGGTGATATTCCTGGGGCTGGGAGGTATGTTTCTGTGGGGCCCACAGGGAGGTGAGAGACCCAGGTTATCTCTGAGGACCCCCAGACCTCAACCCCAGGAGGTTGTACACCCCCAGATTCTTACCCCATAGATACCCAACTTAGGGAGCTTAGAACCCTAAGCTCAACACCTTAGAGACTAACCTAGATCTGATGGTTTCCAGATTCTACCCCATGGAGACTCCAAGTTTGGGGCCTAAGGACTCCCCCAGCTCCAGAGATCCAGCTTAAGAAAGGGTACATGGACCCCAATCAATAGACACCCAAGTTTCTAGATCCCTGGATGACCCACGAGACCCAGCCTGAGAAAGCCCCACAGGATCGCCAGCCAGGAGACCCCTGGACACCAACTCATGGTAAGAATTTTAAGGCTCAGACCAAATCCTAGCCAGCCCCCAGGCCCCTCAGCCTCCTCCAGGCCAAGCCCTGCCTACCTTCCAGGTGGCTGCCTTGAGGTTGAGGGTGCGCCCGCGGCTGGTCAGGGTGCTCTTCATGCGCAAGGAGAAGCACCGCTCTGTGGGGGCCTCCGGCTTCTTTCTGGACAGGCCTGGGGAGGGTCAGGGTGGGGTGGGGAGCTGGTGGCACTGGGCAGCTTCGGACAAGGCCTACCCCCCTCTAGCACTCTCGGCACTGAAGTCTTCCCAATCTTATGTCCCAAATTGAGACCTGGAACCAGAGGGCCCCCCCAGGGAGGGCATGCTCCTTTGAACCCCACCCCCCCCAGGACAGGCCACCTCCCCTCAGATTGTCCCCAGGGCAGGGCTGTCTCCTCTTTTTCCCGTATTTCTCAGTCCAGCATTCCAAGGGATAAGAATATATGCTTTGGTCTCTATGACCTGGGGCCCGAGGCCTCCGGGGAACTCACTCTGCTGAGGGGTCAGCGCATCCTGAAGCTCCTCTTGGTCACAGGGATGGATGAAATCATAGATACTGTGTCCAATGAGTTCAAGCTGCGAGGGAGGGAAGCAGGGGGTCTTGGAGGACAAGCACTTTTACCACGGCCTCTGGCCTGTCTCCCCTGCCCATTCAGTGCCTAATTCCGGAGGCTGGATACCTCGCCAGTCTCTCTGTTCATTCACTTGCTCACTAGGCAACCATTTCTTCCACCCTAGGATTTGCTCGCCCTCTTCTAATCGATCATGTTCCATAGGGGCACAGCAGTCACCACACAGACAAAATCCCTGCCATGCAGAGTTCACTGGCTAGTGGGGGGAGGCAGAAAACAAACAAAATGTATATATACATATATAGTCATGCTTAATGGTCTCGGTGTTTTTTGTTGTTGTTTTTTTAAGATTTCATTATCTATACAGAAAAGAACTGGGGTACAGGCCAAAGGTGCAGGGGATGAGAGGATTCACCAGAGACAGAGTGGGAAACAGAACAGGCAGATCTACTGAAATATACTGCTGAGGGGCACAGCGGGCGAATCAGGAGAGGTCTGCTGCGCCATTTGGGTAGCTCCCTGGCTGGGGATCGAATTCGTGCTGCGGTGGCTGCGGATAGCTTCATAGGTTGCATCTTAACCCCTTGCTCCACCAGGGAGGCCCTGGTCTCAGTGGGTTTTAATCCCTTCTGTGTAGCCTATCAATGGACAGATAGATTGGATAGATGGATGATGGATGGATGGAAGGATGGATGGGTGGATGGATGCATGGGTTTATGGAAGGAAGGATGGATGGATGATACATGATGGATGGATAATGGATGGATGGAATATGGAAGGAAAGATGGATGGATGACAGACGGACTGATGATGGGATACATAAATAGATACACACAGTCATGAGCCACATAATGACATTTGGTCAGTGACAGACCACATATTTGACAGTGGTCCCTATACATAGCCCAGGTGCAGAGCAAACTAATACATATGCATCTGAGTTCTCAGTGATTATACTCTATAACGTTCACACAATGATGAAATCACCTAATAATGCACATCCCAGAGCAGATCCCCGTTGTTAAGCAACATGTGACCATATAGCGATATCATAAGCAATACTAAGAAAACCAAGGCAGGGTGAGGTGATGTAATATTAGGATGGTATTTTAGAGGCAGTAGCCAGGGACACCTTCATAGAGGAGGTGAGTTAAACAAACTGCAGAAAAAGCTAGTGAAGTGGTCTTACGGCTCTTTGGAGTAGTGTTCTGCAAAAGGGAACAGCAAATGCAAAGGGCCTGAGGTGAGACTCTACTAAAATAACACCTGTTTGGAAAGTCCAAGATCCAACTCATTGTTTCAGTTCAGGAAATGAGCCTGGTGCTGGGAGGAGGGGACACAGATGAAAAGGGGACCCACATCAGCTCACAGTCCAGAGGCAATATGGACTAGGGGAGTCTCTCTGACAGATGGCACCTCTCGCAGGATTCCAGTCCTGGCTCTGCCACTTTTAGTGTCGGGACCATGCACAGAGCTCAAGCTAACAGAGAAACTGGTACCAGGAAGGGGTAACAAGACAGGGAAAAGCAACAGATGCCAACAACGGAGCCCATTTAGGCACAAGAAAGGTTGCTCTCACGGGGCTGGCAGAGGAGGAACTCGATTTAGTTCTAGTCTCTACATGTCCCCTCCTTGTCTTCCCATCCCCAGGCCCCAATACCTACCCTCTTCTGCCACTGGAATCTTCCTTCTCCCTCAGCTCCCACCTCTATAGTCTCACTCCCTCCCATCCTGTCTCTAAGCAGCACCTAGAAGGATCTGTGTAAAAGGTAGATCTGATTCTACCTCTCTGACATGACCTCTCTCCTGTTTAAAGTCCTTCCATGGCTCCCCAGAGCAATAAACCTCTTAATTTGATCCTAAATTATCTAGCCCCTGCTGACCTCTCTAGCCTTTTGTCTCTCACCTCCCATTGCACTCTGCACCTACCCAGGATGAAAATATCTTTATTACCCCTCAGTAGTCTGCTTTATATCTTCTCTCTGGGTCTTTGCACATTCTGTTCCCTGGCTATGAACATGCCCAGCCTTCACTGGCTCCCTCCATTCCTCGAGCCCTCTTGACTAGCTAAGTCCTTCAGGTTCCAGCTTAGCTGCCATCTCCTCCAGAAACCCTCGACTCCCCCCAAGACTGGGTCTGATACCCGCCTTCCCAGGCGCAAACAACCTGCTATACAGCTCCCCTCTGGCCCTGACCATCCTTCTTGTGTGGTCTAAGTCCCATCTCTGTACTGTGAGCCCATAAGGCAGGCTAGGTGGTTGCAGTCACCTCTGATCCCAGCACAGAGCCAGGCAGCTCTTCTCACCTGACTGAGGCCCAGGTGCTTGCTGACATTCTCCGACAGGTAAGCCATGTCTCCCTCGGCGGTGAGCACCATGACAAAGCCCTCCAGGGCCTTCAGGTAGCAGGCATCCAGTGGTTCTCCCACCTGGCTCCACTCCCCTGGTGTCGGGCCAGGGTGGATGGGGTGTCTCTAGTAAGCCATGGCCCTCCTGGCTACTTTCCCCTCCACCCTCCCTCACTCAGAGGAAATGACAGGTGCCCTCAGGGAAGGGGTCCCATCCCACTACCTTGGAGATCCAAGGAAGAGAGCAAGGCTACCACCTTCCAAAGGAATCGAATCCTAAAGGGCCAGGTGTCTTATGAGAGAATTCTAAGGGGATGGAACCCTTGGGGCCAGAATTCCCAGGGGGCTGAATGCCCAGGGGTTCAGAATTCTTGGGGGCAGACTTGTAAAGCAGAGACTGCCAAGCAACGGAATTCTGAGAATTCTAGTAAGATTCTCAGAGCAGTCTTATGTACAGTCGGCTGGAGGATGACCTCACTGTCCCCATAATCTTTCCAGGGTCCTGGGATTCCTTGGTGTGCGTGCGTGCATTGTTAAGTGTGTGTGTGTGTGCAGTTGTGCATGTGTGTGTTGGCAAAGCCTCCTGCAGAGTGGAATTCTGGGTATGAACTCGAGGATGGCTGGCTACTGAGAGAAAAAGCAGTAGGGGGGTTGCGAGAGTAAGAGGACTCTCAAATAATTAAAAGTTGGACAGTAAAGCCTCGTGGGGTCATTATAAGGGGACATGGTCTAGCGGGAGGGCCTCCCAGGGAAGCAAATGCTAAGGGTTGAGGTGCCTCAGGGAGTCAGCCGCCTCCCAAATTTTTCATTTCTAAGGCCGCCTGCACTTCCGAAGGGGTGGGGCCCTAGAAGTGACAGACGCCTGAGGGGCGGGGCTTTCCGGGGAACTCGAAAGGGGCGGGGCCTCCACGGGAGGTGGCCTCCCGAGGGCGGGGCCTTGCCGACAGGGGACCTCCCAGGGGCGGGGCTCACCGGCCGCGCAGAGGCGGTGCATGCGCAGGTAGCTGATGGTCAAGCGCATGATGGAGGCCTTGTCCAGGTGAGCGCTGACCCCGCGCGCGAAGGGCAGCGTGTGCGCCAGCTGGTACAGCACCTCGGTCTCCTGGCTGCGCCGGCTGCGGGCCGCATCCCGGGACTTCTCCTTGCGCAGCTCCGTGCTCGATCTGCGGGCAAGGGCAGCGTTCACTGGCGGCGTCCCCGCAAGGGAAAGAGGTGGATAGGACAGGCACATGGGGCGCTGCCACATGGGGCCCGGGATCCAGAGGGCAGGGCCACGACTGTGCGGGTCTCGCTGTGTGACCCTGGCGAGCTCCCGGAGTTCTCTGAGCCTGAAGCAGCCCCTAATCGGGGGTTTTATCTGTCGCACAACAGTCCGTGCAGCCCTCCAGCACCTCGCTCCTCTCCGAGGCGTGCCCAGGGGCGCTCTGTCCCCTCCCTGACTTATCTCCAGTTTATTCCCCGGGATGGGACGCTTGGGGGACCCGGAGGCCTCCTGCCGCGAGGGGGCTGACCGAGCTGGCTGGGCGCCAGGGAAGGGAAGGCGCATGATGCCGGCAACCTCTCAGGCCCCCCCTTCCTGGAGCCTCCCAGAACTCCCTCTCCAGCCCTTTCCCCTCCTCAGCCGAGCTGAGTCTTCAGAATCTTGGAGCACAGGTCTCAAAGTCCAACCACCCACCAGCAGGGGCCCTAGGCTGGGTGACACAGCAGCACTTACAGAACTCAGGGGTTCTGTCCAGCCCCCAGCTAACCACTCAGCTCTGCACTTAATCTATTTCAGTTTTGCGCTTGGGGTTTTGGGTAGAAGGAATGTCTGTCCTTTTGTAAGAAATATAACCACATAACCCGCTTTTGCTAATAGGTTCATCCCTGCGCCAAGGGTGACTTATATTAACCCACTCAGACAACCTAGGAGGAAGATAGTGACATTATCCCCATTGAACTGACCAGGAAGTGGAGGCACAGGGGTGCACAGTGCTTGCCAGTAAGCAGTGAAGTCAGGGTTTGAACACTGGTCAGCCAGAACTCTGCAGTTTTCTGTCTCTATGGCTCTGGGTTGGTTCCAAGTTTGTTTTCTAACACTGTTAAAAGTCAAACTTCAGGTCTGTCTGAATCCAAGCTCTATTGTTTTTGAAAAGAAAAACATTTACTGAGTATATTACATATTGACTATGTGATCTTATTTTTTTAGTGTTGATAAAACTGCTCAGAATAATCAGCTGTAATTTGCTAAGCATGTATGTGCCTGGCTCTGTGCTGTACTCTGCCTGTGCGCATCCTAAGACAACTGGAGGCAGGAATCTCTTTCAAAGCCTCCACTTCACACAGGGGAAACTGAGGCTCCAACGGTGAGGCCCTTTGCTGGAGTCAGAAAGCAAGTCAGGGGCAGAGCTGGCGATGACATCCCACAACCTTCATTGTTCTCTCTAATCTCCTCTTGTGACCCACCTCAGGGGAAGCAGAACTCCCCAGGAGGGTAGCGCAGGAAAAGGGGAGGAAGGCTACTGCTGGGGTCGCATCCACCTCACCCCCAGGCAGGAGACCTGGGGCATGGCTGGAAGGGGAGAAGGGACTACTTCATATGGACACAGAGTGGGGAAAGCTCACTCCAACAGGGTGGGAGGCACCAAAAGGGGCAGGCTGGGTGGAGGGGTGGCGGGAGCTAGCAATCGCTGCCCCCCCACCCCACCCCCCGCCTGGTGGGGGGCAGGGGCCTCCAGTCCCACTGCTCTGCCCAAAAGGAAAGGACATTCCGTCCTGTTCTGTTCTAGCCCTGTTTGTCTTCCTGCCCAGAGGGTGGGGGTGGGCGGGCCTCACTGAGCTGGGGGCCCCTGACAGAGGGAACAGGGAGTGGGAACTGTAACGGGGTGGGGCCAGCCCCCCACCTCCGGGGCAGCTGGGCTCTGAAATCCTGGCAGTGGCAGGCTTCTCCCTCCATAGAAGGAGCCAGCTGGGGTCTGCGGCCGCGGAGGGACCCTCCTTCCAGCTCCCAGTCTGTTCTCCGGATGTTCTTTGGCAGGAAATGTGATTCTCTAGCTGGCTTCACTGCCCCTCGGTCTCCTGCCTTTCCCATTAAACAGAGCCCGGGCTGGTCCTCTGGTTCAGGGTTCTAATCCCGATTCCATTACTTATGAGCCCTGTGACTTTGGGCCAGTATTAAACCGTTGCCGCGAAATAACAACACAACCTCAAAGGGCTGCCGGGGAGATTCAGTGAGCTGATCCATGTCCTGGGTCTTGAACAGGGCTTGGCAGTTGGTTAGTGCTAATAAAGGGTCAACTTTTAATTACTCCCCCTTTGTCCACGTCCGAGATGAAAAGGCGTAGGAGCCTCGTGGACACTGGGGAAACCTGGGGTCTGGTGGTGCGCATGTGCCTATGTCCATGACTTTTACCCGAGCTCCTTGGGGGGAAAGATGAAATAATTGTGATGGGAGCAGCTTTGGCGTATTGAACACCCAGGGAGCTGGCAACCCCATTCAGCAACCCCGTACAGGGGGAAATATGGTTTCCCTTTCACAGAGGCGGAAACTCCTGCTCTGGCAGCGGGACCAGCCGTCCAGGTTCCCACCAAATCTGAACCAGGCTTGGTGAGTCCCAGCCTGCCCCGACTACTAAGGTCCCGGTTTCCGGACAAGGAAGTAGCCCCAGGATGGAACCTGAGGCCATGCGGCTTCTAGTGGCAGAGCCAGAATTCAAACCAGATCTGTCTGCTTCCACCCAGAATGCTGACTTGAACACAATAAACAGCATACTGAGGGGGTGTCCTGCCCCCAGTTCTGTCCCCTCATGCCTCCTCATTTTTATCTGGGCCAGGAGAGGGGAGGATTTCCCAGGATCAGAAATTGAGGCTCAGAGACACAGTCTGGCTCCAGGCCACACAGCTAGGAAGCGGATGCGCTGGGATTTGAAGCCTGACTTGGGGCCTGTGCTCTTAATCTTGCTACGTCTCAGCAGGCGTGCCCACCCAAGGGCCCCTGCCTGACCCCTCCTGGGGCAGTGGCCTCAGACCCTACCCCCGTCCCACCACTGCTGCCTCTGGATTTCCCCAGCTGGCCAGTCTCTCAAGCTGGCCCCATGCCCAAACCTGGTCCAGCCCCCTGGCATTCTGCCCAGCTCGGGACGTGCAGCTGGAGCCCTGCCACCCTTCCTCTGTGTTCCAGCAGAGAACAGGGGGCGGGGCTGGGCCTGGGAGGCCCCAGGGTGAGGCCTGGGAATGGGGGCTGGGCCCTGTGCCTTCCCTCTCTGGGCAGGGAGAAGCCCACCTCTTCCCAGTCCAGAAGAAATGTCACCCGGGACCAGAGCACAGGCATGGAGAAAGTGTGTGTGTGTGGGGGGGTCTGTCCCACATTCAGGGCTGCTGCTAGGGCTCTCCTGATATTTAGCTGTGGAGGGGGCCATCTAGCAAGAAATGTACAGTATTTGGGGGGCTCAGGTTGTCTCTGGGTAGGGACCCCTCTTGGTACTGCCCAGAGTGCACTGAGAGGCAGAGATAGGGCGTGGGTTTGAGAGGAGTCTTGGAGTGGGGGTCTTTTTGCCCCTGACTCTGCTCATTCCCCAAAGACATGGTAATCTGGTGGGGTGCCCACACCCAAAATGCTGTCTTATCCAGAACCTTCTATCCTGGGGGCCACTGGGGGCTGTTGTCCATCAAGGACTTCCAAAGAACTTCTGTGCCTGGGGCATGGGATGGCAGTAAATCCTAGCTGAAGAAAGGGAGGGGGTGAGGGTATGTGGGAATCCCGCTCATCATTGTCCAGGGCCCCTTTGGCCCAAGTGCCATTGTAGGAGCACAAGAGGGGATGGAGTATGGCAAGGATCCGGGTGCCAGCGATGGGTGGTGCGCAAGCTCGGGCTGGGATGACACCACAGGAAAAGGCTGGCCTTGTGTGGAGAGTGGGGAGAGCCCAAGTGCAGCCAAGAGGGGTCCCCACCCAACCAGGAGGGGGCGCTCAGAGGGGTTGGGCCAGGCTGGGTTGGAGTTGGCCCAGAAGGGGTGGGATGGAGTTCCCTGGTGGGCCCTAAGCCAGGGACAGAAATAGATGGGGGGGCGGGGAACATGGCAGGGGGGAACATGGGGGTGTGGACGGATCCAATCAGACCTGCGAAGCCAGGGAGGAGGGAAGGGGGTGAGGCTTCCTGGATGCCTCAGATTGGACAGGGAAACCAAGGGGTCTGGGAGAGGAACCCCTGGCAGTTGAACCAGAGCCCACTGTCCCACATCTGCACCTGCTGGGAGGTGAGAGCCAGGAACCTGCCCTCTGCCCAGGAAGACCCCAGGGCCCTGGGGCCCGCTACCCTCATGGCTTGTGCTGAATCTGGCCCAGGACCCTCCACGGGGTCTTCCCAAAACACGGTTTGGGTGAGGCCCCAGCCTACCATAACGCAGCTGTGGCTGCAAGGGAGTGAGATAAGGGGCTTCACTTCGGGAATTGAGTTGGGCTTGTTTCCCCTTTATTAAAGGGGGGAGGGTGTCCTTATGTTTCAGAGGGATACAAAAAGGCCTCTAGGAAGGGTCTCAGGGAGTTTCTGAATGGGAAACACCCCTTGTGGCTATTTCTAGGGAACCCAAGGTCTGAGAGACTATGAGGGAGGATCTGATCACAGAGGATCTCTCTTCTTTTGAACCCAGGAACTGAATCCCATTCTAATGAACTCCCTATATCAGCGAGGCTCATTTATGGGATTACTCTGTCTCCCCTAGGATCCCAGAGGTCTAAAGTCAACCTCAGTTCTGGGGGTTCAGAAATCAGAAGGATCAATAAGTGGCAGAAGGAGGCTTCCCTTAGAAACCGGGTACTGCCCCAAGCAGACCACCCCCCGACTCTATGGCGGACCCCGAATTTCACCCTCAACCAGAAGGGAGAGCAAACCCGGAGCAGCAGGAAATCGGGGGACAGGACCCCGAAGTCGTTTCTGGCCAGAGGGGCGGGGCAGCCAGGAACTTTGGGAAATCTCCCACCCCTGAGATTTCCTAGGTTGGAGGGTGCGACGGGCATGTGCCTCCAACCGAGAGTCCCGGGGTGTCCTTCGTTTGCACCCATGCATCCCCATTCGGCTCAGGGGTCCCCAGAAGGAGTGCCCCCCAGTTCCCATCATTCTTGCCCCCGAGCCCCGGTACCTTGCACGCTGTAGCCCCAGCGCCATGGCTCGCCAGTCGCCGCTCCGGAGCCTTTCGAGGCCCCTCGCCCCCTCCCCTAGCCCCGGGAGCCCCCTCCCCAGCTCCTCCCCCCGCCGCGTGATTGGCTGCACCGCGCCCGGCCTGAGACTCTGGTTGGGCCGTCCGTCTGTCGCTTCCGAGAAGGAGGTGGACCAGGGACGGAGACTTGGGACGCCCGAAGGAGTGGGGGGTACACGGCGTAATACACAGACACACCCCCAGCCACACCCCTAGCCGCGGACTTCCTCCGCAGTGCCGCCCACACAGTGGGCGGGCCGGGCATTCCGCGAAGTTCCCACACCAATTCTCTTCGGAGCCTTCCCCCACCCTCGGCTCCTTCCATCCCGGCCCCCACCCTCCAACCCCCGCCCCTCCACGCCCCGCCAATTCCTGCCCCCTAGTCAGACCCCTCCCCGACCTCCAGTCTCACCCCCCTCCAGGCCTCCAGCACTGGCTCTTCCCGAACTGCTGAATCCCCACTTACGGCCGCTCCCAACTCCCAGCCACACCCCTGTGCCTCAGCCCCTCCCGGCTGCATCCCACCTCTCCCCGTCCTCAACCCCGCCCTTCCGCCCCCCCACTCGCCCCCCTCCATTCCTCCAATCTGGCCCGCCTGGTGTCCCAGCCCCGCCCCTTCCCTCCCCTCGCTCTCTCCTCCACCCCAACCCCTTGCCTTTCGGCGGCTCTTTTAGGTCCCCACTGTGTGGGGGACGCGTGTGACTCTCAAAAAGCAACGTCCTGCACGACAGACGCTAGACAAAAAAGAAAAACGAGTTCAAACTCCAACGTAGGCAAGGTTTCTCGACGGTGGGAAAATAATGACAGTGTTTGTTCGTCCTGCTATTTGGTTTACACAGGTGGGTGCATTTGTAAAACCTCAGTGTGTGATACTTTTAAGGTTTGTGTGTCTCATTGCATGTAAGTTTTACCTCAGCATATAAAATACGAAGAGTAAACAGGTATTGATAGGCGTGTTGACGGACTTCAGGGACTGAAGACTGATGTCTGCAACTTTTGTGGATGTGAATCAAAAATTAAGCCACAGTCATGGTGGGAGAAAGGGTTAGCCAACAGGACAGAAATGAGAGAAAGTTAACAGCGCAACATGTGAACGGTAGCATTTAGGCGATAGGGTGTATGTTCACTGTGACATGTTCAGTTTTTCTGTATGTTTGAAAATACAGTGAAATGTTGGAAGACAAGAAATAGTGAGGAAAGAAGAACATTGTTTGGCCATTAATTATTGTTGTTGTTAGGATGAGTTTTTTCCTTCAAGAATGTTTTGTCTTAGGCAAAATGAAGCCTTCATATTGTCTTTTTTTTAAAAAAGGTTTATTATGCATACAAGAGCTGGGGTACAGGCCAGAGGTGTGGGGGGTGAGAGGACTCATCAGAGACAGAGTGGGGAGCAAAACAGGCGGATCCACAGAAACACACTGCTGAGGGGAGCAGCGGGTGAGACAGGAGAGGTCTGCTGCACCATGTGAGTTGCTTCTTGGCGGGCGGGGGATCGAACTCATGCTGCAGGGACTTGCAGACTGCTTCACAGTGCTGATAGCTTCATAGTGCACCACCAGTGAGGCCCCATTATATTTTTTTAAATTTTTTTACAGATTTATTTATTTATTTATACAAGCACTGGTTACAGTCAGAAGCGTGGGAGAGTGCGAGAATTCACCAGAGCCAGAGGAACAGAACAGGCAGACGGAGGAAATACACTGCTGAGGGGAGCAGTGAGCACAGCAGGAGAGGTCTGCGTGCCATGTGGGACCCTCACCAGCGGTCGGGGATCAAACCAGTGCTGCAGAGGCTGTGGGCAGCTTTGCAACCCAGCACTCAACCACTGCGCCACCAGGGGAGGCCCAAGGCCCATTATATTTTCAAGGTGAATTGGGTTGTTTTCCCATCTCACCCTTTTTTCCTTCTCCCCTGGATCTATTTATTCAACAGTACACTCTCCTTACTCTATTCCTTCGTTTGTTCATTCATTCAAGTTATCCAACAGAGTGACAAACACATGCCAGGTACTGTTGTAGTCACTGGGGAAACAATAGTGAACAAGCCAAGTGCAGATCTCTGACCTGTCCTCAGGGAACTTACACGCCAGTCGGGCAGAAAGACTGTGCACCAGAAACATAGGTTCATTATATAACACATTAGATTGTGATGTGCGCTATGGAGAGATGTAACACAGGGAATGGAGATGTGTTGTGATTTTTTTCTTGTTGAGGTGAGGGAACTGTAATTAATTTGTTACATTTTTAAAGATTTATTTTACTTATTTATGCGTACAAGAGCTGGGGTGTAGGCCAGAGATGGGGGAGGGCAGTGAGAGGATTCACCAGAGACAGAGTGGGGAACAGAACAAGCAGATCGACTGAAATACACTGCTGAGGGGAGCAGCGGGGAGACAGGAGAGGTCTGCTGCACCATATGGGTCAGCTCCCTGGCCAGGAATCAGACTCGGCTGTAGCAGTGACAGTGCTCAGACTTAACCTCTACGCCACCAGCGAGGCCCCCCAAAGCCCACTAGTGTTGACGATAGTTTTCCTCACCTGTCCACTTGTAATCATAATGGTTCTATTGCCCTAGACACTATCCTATATGTCTAATTAGACAGGCATGTGAGGGCTTAGCACAGTACCCAACACCTGGTGTATTTGTAATATTGCTTGTCATTCATTTCCTCAATCATTCAAACATTTACAATGCCTCTATTCTCTGCCTGATGGAGGGGACACAGAACTGCCCCGGCTGGCCAAGGACATCTAGGGTGGAGGCTAGACAGATAAGGCTCAGATAGGAGTTCCCACCTGTCCTCGGGTGTTCATGTGTGCATGTCAGTGTCACACCCACAGATGTCAAGTCCAGGCTGCCATATTTACACAAGTCTGTATCAGCATATCTAGATTTTCACAAATACACATGTCAGCATATACCATGGTGTGGAGGTCTGTGTCTTAGCCTTAGGTGTGCTTCATGTTAGTGAGATATCAGCAGGCTGATGGTGCTGGTACACACACAGATGGTGATGTGGGGACTTATCTGGGTTCTGTAAATAAGAGGATCGTCATCTAGAAAACATGAAAACTCATTCTTGTGTCTCTGGTCACATGCAGTAAAGGTCTCACCATGTCACTGCCACAGATGGTAATGTATATGTAAATGGTACAGGTGACTGCCCAGGACAGTGACCTCCTCCATCCTTACTGTTCACACCCCCTGCATGACAATCTTTTGCTTGACTCTGGGAGCCTAGGAAGCCCCTCCCAGCCACCTGAACCCCAAGGCAATCAGTCTGGCTGCAGGCAGTGGGTGGCCAGGACCAGGAGTAGGTTTCCCATGTGCACAGGAAGAATCTGCTCATAATCGGGCCTCCCCGGTGGCGCAAGGGTTAAGCACCGCACTATAAAGCAATCCACAGCCTCTGCAGCAAGAGTTCCATAGGCCAGGGAGCAACCCACATGGCATAGCAGACCTCTCCTGACTTGCCCTGCTGCTCCCCTCAGCAGTGTACTTTGGTCAGTCTGCCTGTTCTGTTCCCCCCTCTGTCTCTGGTGGATCCTCTCACCCCCTTCCCCCTGCCCCCATCTCTGGCCTGTACCCCAGCTCTTGTATGTATAAATAAATAAATATTTTTTAAAAATCTGCTAATGATCATTGGCTGGGCTGAAGCTGTTCTCTATTTAGATGTAAAGAGCAAGAATTATGCACCTTTTTAATAGATTCGAGTTTCCAGGAAAGCAAATACACTTGAGAGAGAGTAAGGTCTTAACCAGTTTCAGGCAGAAGTTGGTACTGAAGTTGGTACTGAGAGTGCTCAGAGTCATCATTCCTCGTGGTGTTGAACCCCACACAAAAGTGGCTGGTCCTTCTGTGTTGGCATCTCTCAAAATCTACTTAGACGTGCGCAAGTTCTTATTTAGTTCTCTTTCAAAATGTCAAACGCAAAGGAAAATAGACACGTGAGGAAACATTGTCTTGTGCCTCTTAAATCTAAACTTCTAATTCATCCAGCCCGGGAGCTTCTGACTCTGGGCCGGTGAGCGCTGCCCTGTGGAAGGTATCTTATTGATAAGGAGTTATGGGCTGGCCACAACCACGCACACTGGCAAGATCCAAATAGCTGTGAAAGGGAGAGGTTGTTGACTGATTTACTGGGTGGCAAAAGCTGACCTGACGCAGGCTGTTTTTGATCATCTGTATTTCTCCCATTTTGATGTGACCAGCTCACGTTTCATTACAGAAACGTGTCATCTGTTTGCTTCCAGAAACCGTCTTGAACCCAGCTGGGCTGTTACATCATATACGCTGAGATCCAGACGCTTCTCGAGTCTTCCACGCATACAGCTGCCAGGACCAGAGAAGAGTGGCGTTTTCCTTTTGTTTCCTCCCCATAGTTGGGATTGGTATCGCAGTGCTTGTGATGAGGGATCCTTTGTATAGGTAAGTTACACTGTGTGTGAATTTCATTTCATGACCATAAAAGGAATATTAGGAGACCTTTTTCTTTTTTTAGAAAAGGGGATACTGGATTGAATGGAGATGAGAACTGAACATTTTAGTTAATGGTTACCAGAGTGTGGTCTGGGGACCCCTGGGAATCTCTAAGGGCCTTTTATGGAAAACACAAGGTCAAAACTGTTATCATAGTCAAACTAAGATGCTACTCGTCTGACTCTTCACCCAGTGGAAATGGAAGTTTTGCAGAGGCCATGTGCTATATGAGGCTGTCTTTGCTCTGATATTAATATAGAATGGATGTTACTGATAAGATTTTTTTTTTGACTTAGAAGAACTGGGGTGTAAGCCAGAGGTGCAGAGGGGTGAGAGGATTCACCAGAGACTGAGTGGGGAGCAGAACAGGGGGATCCACTGAAATACACTGTGGGTCTGCTAGACTTAAACAGCCTGTTAGGCCACCATTCTTTGTTACCTGCAGTTCTGTGTTCCTATGCAAGGCTAGAACTTCCCGGCCAATCAGTGAAAGTCAAACTTTACAAGGTACCTTTCATATCAACCCAGAGCAGAAAGTTTGACACTCTGGGAAAGCTATGCATCACGAGGTATGACCGGGAATGTCCTGGGGACCGAGGACCGATGTATGACAAGGGACCCCAGAAGCTGGTCAGTGGAATGCCTTATTGATAAGATTGGAACCATGGCTAGAGGTCTGGGGTCTGGTATTAATAACAACACTTGGTCATCAAGCAGCTAAGAATTATCTGGTCAGCAGACTCATGTCCCCCTAAGCCTTAGATGACATAAGCACCTTCTTTAATTTCATCCATCTTTTCCTCCTTGTCCTCCTGCCCCACGTAATAATGTTGTATGATTATTCTATCAATGAAAAGGCCAGGATCTTGCTTGTTCAGCAGCGTCCTGCATCATGCAGCCTGCTCCACACCTCCATTATCAGTGTGGTGTTGCCCATGCAGCAACACACGGCCGGGGGAGCAGTGGGGAGACAGGAGAGGTCTGCTGCACCATGTGGGTCTGCTCCCTGACCAGGATCGAACTCCATAGCATAGCCTGAGACTTAACCCCCAGGCCACCAGGGAGGCTCCTTGTTACCATATTTTTAATTGGATAAATAAACCTTTTTTTAAAAGATTTATTTATTTATGCATACAAGAACTGGAGTACAGGCCAGAGGTGTGGCGGGTGAGAGGATTCACCAGAGACAGAGTGGGGAACAGAACAGGCAGACTGACTGAAATACAATGCTGAGGGGAGCAGCGGGTGAGACAGACAAGGTCTGCTGCACCATGTGGATAGCTCTCTGGCCAGGGATTGAACTCCTGCTGCAGTGGCACTGGACAGCCACGCAGGTTGCGTCTTAACCCCTTGCACCACCAAGGAGGCCCCTAAATACCTAAATAAACCTTGTAACATTTTCTTGGTGCACATCGCTCCTGAATAGGAACGATCCAGTGGTATGTGGGTGCCAGCCTTACTGATCTGGGAGACCCAACTGTTAAATTTTCGGCATCACATGAGTCAGCCCTTACGCTTTCAGTGGCTTTGAAATGAACCCTGGCAGGAGTATTTACACCCAGAAACTCTATATCACAGCGTTCTTTTTCCTTCAGAGAACTGGCTTAACAATAAATCCTATTGTATTTAACCACATGGGCAAACTCCTTCGGGGTCCTCAATAATTCTGAGGAGTATAAAGGAGTTCTGAGACCAAAACATGAGAGAACTAAGGGTCCATTTAAAGCTAAGCAGCAGGGCCTCACTTTGTGGCACAGTGATTGAGCGCTGGGCGGCGAAGCTGCTCACAGCCTCTGCAGCGCCAGTTCTATCCCCAGCCGCCAGGCGGCGAGGGTCCCACATGGCAGGCAGACTGCCGCCTGCTGCTCCCCTCAGCAGTGTACTTCGGTCCTTCTGCCTGCTCTGCTCCCCGCTCTGGCTCTGGTGAATTCTCTCACCCTCCCGTGCTTCTGACTGTACCCAGTCAGTGCTTGTATAAATAAATAAATAAATCTTTAAAAATAAAATAAAATAAAATAAAGCTAAGCAGCAGCCAAGCCCTAACCTGAGCCTGATGCTCCCCCTAGTGGCAGCAATTAATATGGATGTGATGATGTACACAAAGGTATATGAATGTTTTGTGTACATGTGTCACATTGTAAAGAAATAAGGACACACAAGGGCCTCCCTGGTGGTACAAGGGGTTAGGGCTCAGCACTGTGAAGCTGTCTTCAGCCTCTGCAGCACATCCCCGGCCAGGGAGCTGACCCACATGGCGCAGCAGACCTCTCCTGTCTCGCCTGCTGCTCCCCTCAGCAGTGGATTTCAGTAGATGCATCTGTTCTGCTCCCCACTCTGTCTCTGGTGAATCCTCCCACTCCCCGCCCACCCCCGCACCTCTGTCCTACACCCCAGCTCTGGCATAAATAAATCTTTAAAAAACAGAAAGAAAAAAAGATATACAGATAAATATCACATTGGCTGGATAGTTTTAGTTCTTGATTTTATATCTTAATACCACCAATTAATTAAAATGACTTTAAGTGACACAATCAGTTACAAAGTATGCCAAGAGTATATCTGCACACACATACAAGGAATATATGTTTGCAAAGAATACACATATACATATATTTGTTACATATATCATTTAATGCTCACCTTTACCTCTTTTTTTTGCAAAGTTTTTATTTATTTATGCATACAAGAACTGGGGTATAGGCCAGAGGTATGGGGGGTGAGAGGATTCACCAGAGATCGAGTGGGGAGCAGAACGGATGCATCTACTGAAATACGCTGCTGAGGGTAACAGCAGGGAGACAGGAGAGGTCTGCTGTGCCATATGGGTCAGCTCCCTGGCCGGGGATGGAACTCATGCTGCAGAGGCTGCAGACAGCTTCATATACTGAGACTTAACCCCTGTGCCACCAGGGAGGCCCCATACTTTCTAAATTTTGAGAAATAGCATTTCATTGATGAAAAGTACCATCAAACATTGGCTCCTTCATACTGGTTACCTACTGGTTATTTGTAAATGTTGGTAAGTGCAAATAAAGCTGGCAAAATATCAGCGTGCCAATCTTAGAGTAGAAATAATTTATATAATCCATTGTTTTAAATACCAAAGAGAATAATGAGAGTGAGGATGGTAACACCTTGTTCGCTTTGAGAAGAAATTCTGAACTGTCTTCAAACTGGTTGTACACATTTGCTTTCCCACAACATCCAATGACTATTCCTCTCGCTCCATCTCCTTAACCATGAGGCCAAACGATGCTGCCGGTAAAGAAGGAACTCGCGTTGCTCTGGCTTGCGTTGGGAGTTTCTGGTTGACATCCATGGGCTTCACCCAAAAGGACACCAGCCATGCTTGATTCACCCTGTGATTCGGACCCTTTGGGCCCCAATTTCCACAGCCAATTGCAGGTTGAGGAGACTAGGAAGACACACACACAAACACACACACCCAGAGGGCTGGGGACTAGATGGGCACTTGGGAAGGTTTGGGGGTGGGGTGCCTGGAGCCTGATTGGAGGAAGCAGGCACAGCTGGTGGGCAGGCAGGTGTGAAGCCCCACTTGCTGGCCCTTGAACACCACTCAGCGCCATCCCCCCCAACCATCTCAGAGGAGGCAGCCCCAGTAACTAGAAGCCAACTCCAAGGGCAGCAGGAAGACAGAACACGTGGTAATCGAAAACTTCCGTGTCTGTGGGACTTGCTGATTGTAGCCCCAGTACACACACCCCTACCCGCACCAACGCACGCACGCACATCCCGTAGCCATGCATTCTGTTGCCAGAAGGGCCAGCGTGTCCTGGGAGCGGCAGTCTCTCCACAGGCCTGCATCTGACCTCAGCCCGGCAGTGGGGTCCTAGGGAGCTGCAGCCCCTGCTTCCCCGGCCACTGCCCGCCTCGGATGTGGGGACCCCAGCTTGCTCACATCACTGAACACACATCTTCCCCTGGGCCCTGTCCCCACGGAACTCACCCTTTCATCCCCCACCAGCGCCAGCGTCTACTGTTCTGAAACCAAGGCTGGCAGCCACCTGGGCCGCTGGCCGACCCTTCTCACTGCTTCTCAGCCTCTAAGAGCATGGAGATTGGCCTGGATCCCCCCTCTGCTCTGGACACTTTGGGCTCCAGTTTCCAAAGCCAGTTGGAGGAGCCTCTTCCTGGTGAGAATGGCCAAGTGGAGGAGACTGGGTTGATGTCTAGGCTGGGGCAGGTAGGGGCCTCAGAGGTCTTGGTGGGAGGGGCTGCCTGGCTGCTGCCCTGGTGTGGAAGGCGGCATCAGCGACTCACAGAGGCCTGAAGGACCTGGGTTTCCCTTGTCACCAGTGCCCCTTGGGGTGATAAGCGCAGACTAATGCTGTTGGCTGCGCCTACTGCAGGGTCCCCTCAACCACTGAGAGTCATCCTGACAGCCATTCTCTCTCTCTCTCTCTCTCTCTCACACACACACACACACACACACACACACACACACACACACACACACACACACTAAGGGCCACCCGGTCCGCTCCACCTCCACATGCTGTTGGCACCTGTCTCCAGGATCTAACTGGGAATTCTCCAGTAAACTCAGTCAAGATAACTCCTGGTTTGGGGTCCTTGTCTGTGGGGTACCCTGGATAGATTCCATTTGTACTGCGGAGTGGCAGGAACCTTCATTCCCAGTGCAGAGGTGAGGGTGCAGGGCAGCTCTGGGTGCAGGTGGACCCGCCCTTCTGTGGTGGCCTCCAGCGCTGGCTGGGGATCCTCTACTGAAAGAGGTTGGGGTGATTTCTTTTCCCTGCGGTTCTTCCTGCTACTGAGGCTCAGGGATGCACCTGCTGCAGGAGCCAGGCTTCTGGCTTCTGCCCACAGATTCAGGCTGGGCTCTGACAGTGGGAGGGGGTGTGGGGGGGGACTGGCCCCTCCTCCCAGGGAGCTGTGCATACCTGACATAAATCTAACACGGGAAGCCCCACCACACTGCTGTCTGTTCCTGAAAGGGGTTCCATGAGGCCACGTGGAAATAACACCCAGGAGAAAGTTCCCCCCTCTGGTCACTTGGTGCTCAGGGGAAGCTGTGAGAGGGGAGCTAAGGAGCAGGTCTCCCAATTCACACCCAGGAGCTCAGGGCCTCTTCCTGGCCTGGCCCATGGCACCCTCTCCCAGGTGTCTGTTAAAGCAGCCTCAAGTCCTTGCCCCCTTCCTTGGCCTGAGGGCTGAGCCTGGGCTGGGGAGGGGCCCGTTTGGCCCTGGGGGCACTGGGGCCACTGCTGCCTCTGGGGGATCTGCAGCCTATCCCTTGCAGGATCCTTCTCTCCTGAGACTGTGGCAGGAAAACAAGAGGGGGGCTTTGGGCCTCCCCGGTGGCACAGTGCATTGAGCGCAGCGCTGTGAAGCAGTCTGAAGCCTCTGCAGCGCGGGTTTGATTCCCAGCCGGCCAGGGAGATACCCTCATGGCATGACAGACCTCTCCTGCCTCGCCCGCTGCTCCCCTCAGCAGTGCTTTCAGTCCGTCTGCCTGTTCTGCTCCCCACTCTGTCTCTGGTGAATCCTCTGACCCTTCCTAGTTCTTGTATAAATAAATCTTAAAAAAGAGGGGGACTTCCCAGGTGCTTTGCTTCTGGGCCACCCCCGCATCATTGGCCATGGGCAAGACTAGGGGCAGGTGTGTCCCAGGCAGCCCTGTCCCTGTCCTCCTGGGTCCCAGAGAGGGCAGACTCCACCCCACAGACACCACCCTGAATCACAACTCAGGCTGGGGGGTGCAGAGGCTGCCAGTTGGGGTTTCTTCACAAGGGGGAGCAGTGCCCTCTACTGCATCCCCGGGAGCCTGCCCAGCAGTGTGACAGGTGACAGCCGACACTTTCGAGCATGACATCACGATGGTCCCCAAACTGAGGGGCGCAGCTTCAGGCCATGGGAAGCAGGGGACTCTGCTGGCATCCTGGGGTGTAGGGCCTGGTCAGGGTGAGGTGGGCTGGTGGCAGGTTTGAACCGCCTTCTGCTAGGGGGGTTGTGGGCTGCTCACAATGCAGTGGGCTGAGTCAGTGGCTCCAGAGGCTTCAGGGCTGCCCATGGAAACGCAGCCTCCCCTTCCCCAGGCAGAGACGCTGGGGCCAGGCCCGGTCTGGGGAACCCTTTGACAAAGTGCAGCGTGAGACTCCCACCTGGGGCCAGTGACCCCAGAGCCTCCTCCCTGTGAGTCAGGGCTGCACGGTGCTGGCTTTCTGCCCTGGCCACAAGTCTCCTCCCATTTTCACCAGATCCTGACTCAACAGTCCACACAGGCCTGACTCCAGGCCCCAGCAAGGACCCAGCCATTCCCCTGGCAGAGGCCACACCCTGTCCTGCAGGAAAACTGTTCCTCCTTGCAGCTGGCTGGGTGCCCAGCCAACCTCAACTGTTTCTGCAGAGCTCGGGGACTTGGTGCCAGCTCTGCTTTGTGCTCCACAGGAAGCACCGGGGGCCTAGAATGTGAGAGCTGAACCCCTGGTTTTGGAAGACGTGACTGGGCGGCTCAGGGACAGCTCTCAGGAAAGAGGTGTGTGTCACCTGCACAGATTTGTCTCACCTGTGCAGGTGACTCACTGGGAAGGCAGATATGGCATCATCATGGCCCACACTCCGTCTGAAGTCAGGTCGACAGCCCGCGTAAGGTGAGCTGCCTGCAGTGTGGCTGCTTCTCTTTCCTCATCGCTGCCTTTACTCCCAGGGACAGCGTAACGCCCAGCCCCATGGCACACGGGCAGGCAGTGGAGTTTCACACCTTTGAGGAAGCCACCGGGTCGCCCATGGGGTGCAGTGGATGAGCCTCCTGGGACAAAGAACGTATGCTCAGGTGAGAGCAGCTCCTGTTTCCATCATGCACACGGACAAGGAGAGGGTCCTGTGCCCGTGAAGCCCCTGGGCTGCCTGCAGGTGGGCAGTGCTGAGGCAGGGCAGGGAAGTGGTGCTGGGCAGGAGGTGTAGCTCCCCTGCAGGGGAGAGCAGACACTTGCCCCAGAGCCTCCTCCCTGGTCTCAGCCTCCTGTGTCAGCGCCCCGTGCGCCCTCCTCATGGCAGACAGGCTCTGGCGCCTCTACACTCCACGCTCACCTCTCCCATCCTGCTTAGAATCCCTTCCTGACCAGAATCCTCACCAGGCCCACAGGGCGCCCTCCCTGCCCTTTCCTCCCCTACACCCGCTCTGGGCTGAGTTCGCCAAAACAGTCCAGGTTCTGCTCACTCCCCATGTCACACATCAGATGTCCCCTCCTCCAGGCAGCCTTCCCTGATGCCCTGGCGCCTCCTGGCAACCCTCATCACTCTGTGTCATCACTGGGTGGTCTGTGCCCCTCACAGGACAGAACACAGAGGCCACGTTCAGGCACTAAGTCCCCTCGTGTCCCTGCATCGATGAGCACAGGACTGGCGATACCAGGAGCTGAGGAAACACTGCGTGAGTGAGTAAGTCAAGTTTTGAAAGATGAATTAATGAAGATGGTGAAGGGCTGAGGCCGTGTGGGGGTGGGAGGAGCGCCGTCTGCAGGAGGCCTCTGCTCTGCCGGGTGGGCGTCTGGACTCCATCTCTCTGTCCCAGCAGCTCCTGTCCCCTCTGGCTGCTGCCCTGTGGCCCCAGTGGCCGCTCTCCCTGGGCAAGGTCAGGGGCCTGCTCTGGAGGACCCTCCTCCCACGGCCCCGCCTCTGCCCCCCCAGGCCTCACTCAGGCCCTGCCGGGGCCTCGCAGGACACCAGGACAGATGGGTGCGCAGGGCTGGAGCTCCCCGATTGGGGATTGAGCGAATGGCCCGAGGCAGGCACTAGCAAACAGGGATGACATCACCGTGGGCTGATATGGTCTCCTAGAGGTGGAAAGGAAGCCAGGTAATAACACCCTGTCAGGCGCCCCAGGGGCTCAAGCGCCCTCACCCTGGGATGCTGCGTGGCTCCTCAGGAGATGCCTCCTCTCCTGGCACCCTGCAGTCCAGCGGGGAGCAGTCAGCCTGAGCAGAGCGTGCCAGCCCCCGGCCTGTCCTCCCGCCGACAGCTTCCGGCCTCCTCGACAGCCTGCTTGTGCCGCGGACGTTTCTCAAAAGAACATCAGTCACGGAACAGTGTCATGATGCCATGGGCCACGCCTGCCTCCTGGCAGGTCCTGCTGCTCCCCTGCTCCGCGCACCTTCTCCCTGCCTCCCTCTGACCTGAGCGGGAGGGACTCGGCTGCCTCCCGTCCTGGGCACCAGCGCCTGTGTGGTGCCGGATGGACTCGCCGTGTGTCCTGGACTCGCGGCCACTGGCGGAAGACAGGGAAGTCCTGGTGTCCTGGTGGCATTTCTGGGGAGCCTGGCAGGCTCTGTGTGCCTCCAGGTTCAGCTGAGGTCCTGACCCGTGAGCAGAGGACCCTCCACTGACATGGCCTCTGTCACACCCACGCGGAGCTGGTTTGGAAAGCAGTCACGCCCTCTCCCGAGTGTGGGGTCAGAGGGGGTGACCAGCCCCTTGGAGGGTGTGAGGGACAAGCAGCCTTGGAGAAGGCAGGACACTGGCCGGGACCCCTGGCACTGGGTTTCGGTGTTGATGTGGGAGAGCAAGGTGGTGCGGTGCCTGCCTGTGCATCTTCTTTGCTGCAGGGGTTTATTGCCGGGCGGGAGAGCGGGGCTCTTGGAGGGGGAGAGGGCACCCTCCTGTCCCAGCTGCTGAGGGACCTGAGGTAGGACCCACAGAGGACAACTTGCATCCACCTGCCTGAGATCCAGGACTGGACATCACCCTGTGCCACCGGGAGGCCCATGCTGGCATCTCTCTCTCTCTCTCCCTCTCCCTCCCTCCCTCCACCCACCACCCTTTAACTTCAGGAGCCTCATTCCCATTATGAGAGCATTCTGCTTTGTTAAACAGGCTGCTTGGTAACATCTCATATTTGTCTTGCGCAACCACACCTTGTCCCCGCAGCTCCTTCATTTTGCTATACTTCCTGAGGTCGTTCCCCAGGCCACGTCATGCCCCAGGCCACTGGTTCCCCAGGCCCTGTCATCCGTGGCGCAGACAGGCCGCATCTTCGTGGTCCAGTCCCCTATCAGGCACTTCGTTGCCTCCACCCTTAGTCTGTGATAGTCTTTTTTTTTTTTTTTTTAAAGATTTATTTATTTATGCATACAAGAGCTGGGGTACAGGCCAGAGGTGTGGGGGGTAAGAGGTTTCACCAGAGACAACGTGGGGAGCAGAACAGGCAGATTGACTGAAACACGTTGATGAGAGGAGCAGCGGGGAGACAGGAGAGGTCTGCTGCTTCATGTGGGTCAGCTCCCTGGCCGGGGATCGAACTCGCGCTGCAATGGCTATGGCTAGGTTCATAGGTTGCGTCTTAACCCCTTGCACCACCAGGGAGGCCCAGTCTGTGATAGTCTTTGAATGTTGACTGTAAACGCCCATATTCTATTTCTGGGGAGCAGGGGCTAAGGAGGAATAACTTGGAATTACCTCTTCACCCTGCCCGCCCCCCTATCCCTTCCTGGAGCCAGGGATTGTGATAAATTCACTTGTCCCCTTTTAAAACTATGAAAATTCAATTCTGTGTTTTAATTTTATTATTAAACTATTATGTCAAACTTGAACAGAATAGGGAGGGGCTTCGGGCACTGAGCAGGGATCTCCCGAGAAGTCCTCAGACCAGCACATCCCTGCTTCCCCCACTTTCTGCTCCAACCCGTGGGAAATGCAGGTATGGTGGGGGTCGCCCCCCACCCCCACCTAAACTGAGATGGCCTGTGGGTGACGTCCACCTTCCTGATATCAGCCGCCATCTCATCTCAGAGCTGACTGGGGTTCAGGAGGGCCTGGGCCCCCTGGAGTGTGAACTGTGGCCTCTTTCTGTGACTGAGGCCGGATCTGTCAGTTTTCAGAATCCCATAAGCTGACTCATTCATCCTTGAGGAGAATACTTTAGGAGCTAGAACATTCGTCTTAGTGAGATTCCCCCCACTGCCTTGCCACCCACACACCACTGTTTGCTGTCTGGTGGGGACGAGGGTGAGCCCAGCCCGGGCTTGGAGGGGCCCGAAGAGAGGTGGGGGTTGAAATGTGGTGTGGGGGCCGGGAAGGCAGGGCCAGGCTGCAAGGACCTTGGTTTGCGGGAGGGTGGGCCTGTCTCTAAGGCCAAGGCTCTGCCAGCCTCACACTGTGTGCCCAGCCTGCCCCACCCCGGCCCTGAAGCCCGCCCACAGGTGCTCCACCCCACGCCACCTCCCTGTCTCAGGAAAGAGGTCTGGGCTCAGGCCATGTTGAAGCCCCTCCTCTGTGGGTCCCCATCTCCTCCCTGTCCCACACCACAATTCAGAACCCCCAGGAACCCCAAGACTTGTGATTGAGATACAGTTTTTATTTTTTTAAAGATTTTATTTATTTTTGATAGAAGAACTGGGGTACAGGCCAGAGGTGCAGGAGATGAGAGGCTTCATCAGAGACAGAGTGGGGAGCAGAACAGGCAGATCCACTGAAATACACTGCTGAGGGGAGCAGTGGGGAGACAGGAGAGGTCTGCTGTGCCACGTGGGTCAGCTCCCTGGTCAGGGATTGAACTTTGACAGTAGTGGTGATGGAGCTGAGACTTAACCCCTAGGCTACCAGGGAGGCCCCCGAGATACAGGAGATCACAGAGAATATTCTGAAATGTGTTCAGAAACCTCTCAGAGAGGTCCCAGTGCCAGTCAGTGGCAGGTGCAGAAGGATGCTGGCGATGGGATGCTTGTGAGGGGTCAGGCCCCTGGGCACCCCAGCAGCAAGTCGTCTGCAACAGCGTTTGGAAGCGTAGGAGCAGACAGGCCCCCTGACGTAGGACAGGCTCAGGCCGAGGGTGAAAGAGGAGGAAGGACAGTTGTCTCCTCCCCTGAACCCCCACCCACAGCCTGGATTGAAGACACCCCTCTCTGCAGCTCCTCCAGGTCTGGCGGCCCCCTGGTCCCCTGGTCCTCCGTCAGCTGACACTGGAGAGGGAGACAGAGGGAAAGACTGGGCAAGCTGTGCAGGGACGGACAGGCATGGGCGGGGGTGGTGGAAGGAGACTCGAAGGGACGGCAAAGGGGCTGAGAGAGAAGCAAGAGCGGAAGGAGAGAACTAGGGCGAGAAGGAGGGAGAGGCAGGAGAAATGGCGGCAGGCGGGCAGGAGAGCAGACATCACCTCACCCCACCCCACCCCCCACCCGCCTCGCCACCCTCCCTGCTTCCTGGGCTGTGCTCCCCGCACCCCGCCCTGCGCCTGGAGGCCAGCCCTCACCTGTGACAGAGCCTGTCGTCTGGGGTCGGGGCCACAGTGCACTTCTGGCCTCTCACCTTCACCACAAAAGTCTCTGGGCGCGCGAGCGCCCCGGGGCAGCACTCCTCAAAGCAGACCCTGAAGGTGCAGTTGCCGCACCTCTGGGTCCTGCCCAGCGACACCAGCGCCCCTAAGTAGCAGCAATGCGTCCGGGGATCGTAGAACTTGTCCCCGCAGCGCTCATGAGGCTGGCACAGCAGCAGAGGGGCGTCCGTGGGGGTCACTGCAAGAGACAGCGTTGTGGCCAGGCCGCAGGGCGGGCACGGACAGCCTGGGGCGCCTGGACGCCCCTTTCACCCCTGCCCCTGTGTGTCCCTCCCGCGCTCACCTGGGGCTCCCTGTGAATAGAGGGGCACGAGGACGCAGACAATGGCTGACACGGCTGTGGAAGAGGAGAGGTGTGAGGGAGGCTGACAGCTGAAGGGTGGCCCCGGAGCCCCGCAGGGAGCTCAGCCTGGAACAGGGGACGCTGAGGGGGTCTCTGTCCTGGCTGAAGCTCAGGACAAGGTAAGGACCCTCCAGGGAAGATCGGTCACCTGTAGACAGGTGTCTTGGGATTACGGGCCTGTGGAAGGTGAGGGGGTGTGGACAAGACTCGGAAGAAGGGAGTTTGGGTTCTGGGGAATGTGGCTTTTTCTGGGGGAGGTGACAGCAGGAGGCCTGGTGTGTAGGCCGTGAGGGGTGAGCTGGCGCTGGCCTGCGTGTGTCTGACGCTCCTGTTAGGAGACTGGCTTGGGGGGACCCTGGATCTGACTTGGACGCGGGTTTGGACCTGCAAGGGCATATCGATGGGCTGACCTTGGGGCTGCGGGGGCCAGGGCATGGGGCCACAGTTGTGGGAATGGCGCGGGCTGGAGAGGAGGACTAGGCTGAATTAGGGTTGGGGTGGTGGGTGAGATGGGGAACGGGCCTTCCGAGACCGGGGCTGGGGGATCTTCCTTACCCAGGATGCAGCGGTGGGCACTCATCGCTCTGGTCTGGCCGCAGTGGTGTCCGGGCTGGTGGCTTCCAGCAGGTGCTTTTATCCTGGAGAGCAGTGAGTCACCCTCCTGTCATTTCGTTTTCCCCTCCCATCGCCGGCCTGCAGAGACACGCCGGCCTGGGCGAGCTGGCTGGAGACTTACGTGCTGCTGCACTCACGTGTTTCTCCCTCTGCCTCCCGACTTCCATGCTGGGGCAGCCGACACGGGCCTCCCCTCACCCCAGCTCCACAGCCTCCTGAGCACACCGGGTGCCACTGGGTGCTCCTTGAGCACCCTCACTCTCCCAGGGGGAGTCCACTTCCCCCCCCCCACCCTAAGGGTCTTCAGGGGTCCCGTCAGCTCCCAGCTGGGGGCCGGAACATGGCCACTGCTCCCTGCACCACAGCTCAGCGCATTCACGTGACAGAGACTCGGGGCACACACATGGGACCTCCAGCCTAAGAGGCTGGGGAGAGGGCAGCCAAGTCAGAGGATGCTGGGGAACGCGGGGGTCCTAAGGCCGGGAGGCCCTGGAGGACCTGGACTCATGCTCCCCAAGGCGCTGTCCCCTCCCATCCCTCGCGATGGCTGTGTGCACGGGTGCTACGTTCCAGTCAGCAGCTCAGGCGGCCCGACACTGTCAAGGACGGATGAGGGGCTGCAGAACAGTCCTTCAGAAGTTGATGAGGGAATTTTCTTGCAGTTCATGAGGGAAAGGGAGGGGGTGGGAGGGTGGGTGGAGAGATACACAGACGGACACACGGAGGGAGGGGGTAGCTATGGCTGATGCCTCTGTCGGTGTTGACTGTGGGATATTCTGTGGGAGAAACTCTACCACCTTCTGTAGATGTCATAGGCCTGGATCCCTAAGTTTCAAGGTCAGAGGGAGATATTTCCCCCAGCATGGCTATTTGGGGGTCAGGATATGAAGAAAGTCCCACACTTTCCTGGGGGACACCCTGAGGTTGGGGTCTGTGGGTCCAGGTCACCCCGTGCAGTGAGCACTGGGAGGCACCTCTCCCAGCTTGTGCAGATACCCAGCTCTCAGGGTACCACGCGGTGAGGACAGGCCCTGATGACCCCTCCAACCCTTCCCTGCAGTTGGGAAGTCCCTGCTGTCTCTCCTTCCCAAGGGGGCCCCCAGCAGTGGCTACCTTCACTCCCCTCCACTGGGAGCCCAGGCCTGGACTCGGGGCCTCGTGAAATGCACACTAGATGAGACTTGGAGAAGCGCCCAGACTCCATGAGCTTCCAGCATCCCCAGCCACCCCCTTGGGCCACCCAACGGTGATGGTTCTCCCTCTGCCCTGACCACACTCCCTCCTCTGCAGGGACGAGGCTGGGGAGCAAACACAGAGGTCTCGTTCTAGGCTCTGCCCCCCTGGGCATGCAGCCAGTGGAGCTGCTGCGTCCCTACCAAACTCCTCTGGACCGTTGTTGGTGATCCTGGGAGGTGACTTTCCTCTTTACTGTCACTGAACTCAGTCCATTGTCTATTGGTGTCACAGATGACACAGGGAAGGACCTGAAACTATGTCCCTGAGGACAACCTGAGAGGCCAGCCCAGTACTGACCTGCTGAGGACTCTGCTCTGACTCTGTGCCGGGTCCTGTGCCATCACAGGACACAGACTGTCCTCACAACTGGAGGACCCCAAAAGGACAGGTGTGATTTGGGGAAGCCCAGAGGCCATGGGAGCACCTGGGAATTGGGACATAGGAGGAACCTACCCTGATGGAAGATCAGGAAGGACTTCCTGGAAGAGGGGTTTTTTTGAGTTAAGGGTTCAAAGATGCACCAGAGCTGGGGAGTTTCAGAAAGGCTAGGCCCAGAGAGGTGGCGGGCAGGCAGGGAGAAGGGGCTGGAGGGAGCATTACGAGTCCTTTGTGGGTCTCCAGAAGGACTCGGGACTCATCTTCAGTGCTCTGGGCTCTAGCCAGGCCCTAAGCAGCGGATGGAAGTGTTCAGGCCTGTGTGTGGGCCAGCCCGGAGGTCTGTCCTCCGAGAAAGATGGACAGGAGAGCTGAGACACGAGGCAGGAGCTCAGGGAATGTCCCGCCACAGCAGAAGCACATGTACAGCAACCAGAGTCCGTCATGTCACCTCTCTGCAGGCAGGGGACAGCACCCTTCCTGCAGCCCCATCCCTCCATTTTCTCATTCCCTCTTCTGCTGTTGCAGGTACAGCATTGCTGGGATGGCAACAATTTAGTAGTCCATTTTTTTAAATAGAGAAAAACAGGAAATTATTGACATGTGCATTTTTTTTCTTTCTTTTTTTAAAGATTTATTATTTATTTATACAAGCACTGGGTACAGTCAGGAGCGTGGGAGGGTGAGATCACCAGAGTCAGAGCAGGGAGCAGAGCAGGCAGAAGGACCGAAGTACACTGCTGAGGGGAGCAGCGGGCGGCAGCAGAGGTCTGCGCGCCATGTGGGACCCTCACCCGGTGGCCGGGGATCTAGCCTGCACTGCAGAGGATGCGGGCAACTTCGCAGCCCAACGCTCAACCGCTGCGCCACCGGGGAGGCTCGACACGTGCATTTTACAAACTTTCTTGAGGTTGTCAGAAACCAGTGATGATGTAATGTCTATTTTCCCCCAGGGAGTCGCAGCTAATTAGTCAATAAAATTATTTGTGGCTCGTGAGGGCGGGTTTTTCCTTCCCCAGAGCTACTGACAAGCTGCCCTGGCTTGCCCTCCAGGCTGTGGCTCCTGCTGAAGCCTGGATTCCACTCACTTCCTGGCATGGCCCCCAGGCAGGGCAGGAGCAGGTCTGGGTGCCTC